ATCCTTACATCGTTATCAAGCTAAAAGTGAATACAACCAGATGACACATATATACATAGTATGTTTTGACAAACAGCAGATTAACATAAACAACAACATGTAATCTAAAAACAAGTGGTACATATTGGGAGAGGCCAGTGGGAGACTAGGAACAAGGAGACTGGTGACTAAGCCCCAAAACAAGGGGGATTAAGTTGTAATAACAAGCTGATTGTACGCTTTTATAGAGTCTATAGTTTGATTAATTCTTCATAGGCCGATGGTATGTAGTATCCTTGGTCTGTGTTGATGAAAGGTTTGTGGCGGCGGATTTCTGAGTCCTGATTCTTGGTAGATATGATTTCGAATTTGTCAAACTTGGTTTGATGGGTAGGAAATTTCTGTTGGTGTTTGGATAGGGCTGATCTGCTGTCTGCCTTGGCTGTAGAGGTTTTATGTTCTTTTATGCGGGTGTCAACGGGACAGGAGGTTTCACCTATATACGAGCAGCCACATTCACAATTAATCTTGTAGATCACTCCTTTGGGGGGCTGCTTTTTGGAGGGTAAGTTGCGGCCAATGGCTTGGAGGATGGTCCTGAGGGTTGGAGAGCCAGTGAAGATGGTGTCGATGCCTGCTTGGTGCTTTAGTAGTCTGATGGGGGCAGATTCAAGTCAGTTGGTGTTTGTTGTGGAGGGTGGTGGAGATGGTCCTCTTGGGACAATGGTTGAGGCTCGTGAAGACATGCTGCAGGTGGTTCAGCTCATGTTCTAGGTCACAGCTGCTGGAGCACATGTTCTTGGCATGCTTGGTCAGGGTTGAGATGACACCAGATTTTGTTTTAGGGGCGTGGTTTTGAGTTGAAACGAATGGGTACCCGGAAGGTACCCCTTTGCAGCTGGGTGAACTGGGACACATCGTCACAGTATTTTGTCCAGTGATACTGCACATTACTATACCCGCAACTAGGTGTCTGGTCGTGTTCGTGTGTCCACCATCTGGTCACCTATAGCTACTGTCGGATGAGTGAGCTCTTCTAGGTGCACAGTGTTGTGTACTGCGCACTAGGGGTTGTGACAGCAGTGAAAGAGCCTGCAAGTAATGTTAGCTCCAAGGTTTTTACAGCCGGTCACAAGTGGGGATCGATCCAGGCACCTTTTGCCTACTAGCGGGGCGCCATAGTCAGCTCCCCCATCTTGCCTACATTTGTACTACACTGACGTACTGAAGGGTGTCCACAGCTTGTGTTTTGGAATTACTAGTATTATTTAACTATACTTTTCCGAAAGCATCCGACTCTTTTATATTACTAAAGATAATCTGTTGTGGCACAGATATAGAAACGCCTTCTTCTACTCCTTTAAGTAGAATATAATAAAATATGCAAAATCACTGTATATTCAGAAACTAGTTTCTATATTGTTAAGAAGGCACCAATACCATACTTGGACCTTGAAGTGGTTCCATACAACGAAACAGACAGTTGTTCCAGTCACTGAATCCGTTGGTGGAGATATGTATCATATTTATGTTCTACACCTGTTTACCGTTAGCAACCGATGCGTAAGAATAGACTTACGGGATCGGGGGTCAGGCTCGCTGACTTGGTTGATAGACATCATCGTGTCCCAAATGCGTAGATCGATGCTCATGATGTTGATCACTAGAGTGCGGCATAAACAACAAACAAACCTATTTGATTTCAGCGTATAAGGTTGCAAAGGCAAATTGTCTTTCATGGATTTGAAACGAAATACTAGTAGATGTCATTGAGAGATCCCCGAAAAAATATCAGGAAGAATAGGAAAGGCCACCGGCAACCCATGATGGTCAGATAAGAAGGCTGGACCGGACAGGCTCGGTGATGTGGTTGACAGCGTGCGAAGGATGTGGTATGCTGTCTTCTATCATGCACTCCATGTGTCCCTTTGGATGACACAGACAACACCATCTACTCTTCTCTGGTCGTTCAAGGACTATCATGTTAAATGACAGTATCATGAGCCAGGTCGTGTTGACCTAGATAAGGCTGTCGGGGTGATCTCCCTTGAATGTATGCCGCGTCTCACACTGATTAAATAGTCATCCGCCTCGTGAGCCTCGTCCATCACAGTCTCTCCGAAGAAATACCCATGACACATTCTCCTTATCATTCAAATAGTGAAGTTGCCATCCCATCGCTCCTATTTCTAACTCAGCACTGACTTTCCTCTTGCTTACTATACAGTACTTCCATACCCAGATGCAGTTTAACATGCATGCCTACCTCCAACAGTAGATTCTATGGCGAAGGTAGATGGTGAACTGGTTTAGTGAGTGTTTTTCAAAGTAGAATGGAGATATAATATCCTGGACAAACAATAATGCTAAATGAGTGTCATGTTCGAGTTCATGCAACAGGGGGTGGCGGGGTAGCCCAGCAGTTAAATCGCTCGTCACACCATCACACCGAAGGCCAGGTTCGATTCCCCACATACTAATGTTTTCCTGCTGTGATATTGCTGGAATAGTGCTAAAAGCGGTAAGAGTAAACCCACTCACTCGTGCAACAAATTAATTCATTTTTTTTTTTTTACGGACTCAATAAGTCTGGCTACAGAATATGGAATTGAGTAAGCTTCTAAAGCTGTTTTGAAGACTATATGTCCATTCTTATGAATTTCAACTAGAGTGGGGGCGGTGGGGTAGCCTAGTGGTTAAAGCGTTCGCTCGTCACGCGGAAGACCCGGGGTCGAATCCCCGCATGGGTACAATGTTTGAAGCCCATTTCTGGTGTCCCCCGCCGTGATGTTGCTGGAATATTGCTAAAAGCAGCGTAAAACCAAACTCAGTCAGTCAGTCAACTAGAGTGACTATGTTGCTGGTCTTAGACACAGACATTTACCATTTTGGTGGAATCTTTGGTAAACCTAGACATGGCATGGCATTCAAACCCATGATCATAGGATTCTGGTTTACATACACTGAGCTGACATACATTTCTCAATTTTACATAGGGACAAATTAACTATGAGTGAGTGAGGAGGGTTTTATGCTGCTTCAGAAAATATTCACCTGTGAAGATTTGGGTTATAATTGATGTTCAGTTACCCATGCTTGTCGTAAGACTGTCGCAACTAAGGGGGTGGGGAGGTTAGACTTGCGACACATGCCATAGTATCCCAATTGTGTAGATCAATGCTCATGCTGTTGATCACTGGATTGCCTGGTCCAGAGTTGATTATTTACAGACCGCTGCCATATAGCTGGAATATTGTTGAGTGCCATGTAAAACTTAACTCACTTACTCAGAAAATATTCCAGTTAAATCACAGCATATCAGCTGAATGTGGGAGGGCAACCCAAGAGATGCTGGTCTCCTGTATCTACCACAGGGGGGAAACCTGACAGCACTAGTAGTGAGTGAGTTTAGTTTGACTCCGCCTTTAGCAACATTTCAGCAATATCACGGTGGGGGGACACCAGAAATGGGCTTCACACATTGTACCCATGTGCCAACACGAGTATGGTGCAGCAGTATGTTACACTATATAATTTCATGTAATACATGCTTGAGAGATGAGAACACGATTTGTGTATCATGGAACTATCAATGGCATGTTATTTCAGTTCAATAACTCAGTGTAACCTTCATCTTTGAGACCCATGAAGATCCAGGTAAGAATTGCTTATCGTAAGAAGCGACCAACGGGATCGGGTGGTCATCCCAATTGTGTAGATCGATGCTCATGATGTTGATCACTGGATTATCTGATCCAGACTCGATTATTTATAGACCGCCACCATGAAGCTAGAATATTGCTGAGTGCGGCATTAAACAACAAACCAACTTCATCTTTGAAGAAAATCCCATATGATGAAAGTTGATGAAGACACAAATTATCTGAAGTAAATATGATGTGTGAACACTTGGCCAGTATATCACAGCAATGTTTGACACAAGCATGGCAGATTTAAGTTGAAAGTTTGTCAAAATATCAGTGCTCCTCATATAATTTTGATTTATGATCAGTAATTATGTAACGGTATCTACTCAAACTGTTGCAGTGCTCCAAATTACACATTACTGTCAAGAATTCCCATCATAACCCTCATATATGGCTTAATTCAAAAGTGTAATATTCAAAATGGCCCTATGTAGCTCAATGTATATTTGTGCACTGAAACCATAATGTATTTATGTCTACCACAAGTGTTACTAAAGACACCATGATGTCACAAACATTTGTTGGCTGTCATCTATGACTATGTTTTATGTCTCCTGTCTTTTGTCATTAACTGTTACATTATAAATAGTATGACACAAATACTGCTGTTGAGCGTCGCCCATGGCTATGCCTACGTTTTCGTTACACCTGAAGAGGTGTTGAGAGGCAAAAGATCTTTTGTACATAAAAGGAGTTTGACCAGAACAAACATCTGCATGTTATGTTTTATATGTTCATGGTTAAGCTTCTGATGAAATCATTTGTTTGCATTTAATCCCGTAACATATAGGGCTGCACAATAAAACCGGTTTACCAGTATTTACCAGTTCAGACATGAAAACGATACGTATTGCGATACACTGATCGAAAACCGGTATTTTGACATGCATTCAGAAAACTACATAACACTCGGAAATCTTTGGATATTTCCGTTCTTTAAATTGTTCCTTTCTTTGTTTCATTTGTGCCAAACATTATTTACATTTTTATTTGTCATGATTAAAAGTTTTTATTAAAGCCTAATCAAGCATAGCGATTTTGTTGCTTTATAAATCAAGCATTAACTCGATTGTAAGTAGTTTTTTTGTTAAAAAACCCATCTTGCAACATATTGCAATACATATCGCAATATATGCTTTCGCATTGCAGTATATCGCAATATGAAACTTTTCTGTAATACCCACCCCTAGTAACATAACACTGATTCCGTTGTGTCCTGACTAAACGTGACTACAATAACTATCATGGAATAGATCAATGATTTGGTCAACAATGATCAACAGAACACTAAAAATGATAACAACACATACACAATCATCTATATGAAAGATCATTTTAATCACATATCATTAACATAATTTGATGTAAGTGTACATCTAATCAAAGTCAAAATACAATAAAATCAACTCCTCTTCTACAAACTGTTTTCACAAAGACATCGTCAGTGCTAATAAGAATCGTTTGAACAATGTGACCAATAATAACTTGAGAGAGTGCGAGTCAAATTTAACACTGCTTTGAAAGGGTATTTCACCAGCATTAAGATCTAACCATGATAAGAGTAGGGCAGGCTAAGAAGATCAATGATCGGAAATATCGTTGATGGGAATTATTTTTTTATGATTATTGACATAAAAAGTGTGTCATCATACATACACTATTGTGATGAAACAAAGTGTTAACTTACTCACACAATATGCAAAGCTACGTCTATATTCATGAACTGTGTCTAAATTATGTTCAGGGCACTGTTTTATCAGTAATCCAAACATAAATATGCCACCACTCACCGATGACGTGAAACATGACGATTTCTTACAGACTTTTGTGGCATTTTGCCCTTAGTTACTTTATTGATAACAGATCGATAATTATTTAACGAGTAGCGATCTCCATGATCTGAATCAATAGCCAGCCCTAGATAACAGCTTAATGTATGAGGAAGATGGTGCTAACTCTGTTAATACTGTCACACCGGCGATGCAAGTTTTGGATATTTTTCACTTTTGTGAAACCCACGTTGGTGAAATCCACAAGCATGGCTATTGTGATGAGAATCATAGAACATAATATATAGAGAACCAGGATTCAAAATATGATCATAAGATTCTGATATGAAAAAAGAGATGTAACTCAGTAAAGAGAATTGTGGCAGCAATGTCGATGGAGTTACGGATGTCCGTATAACTTATCAAATGTACAAATATAGTATGAGTATTGATCTACTGGTGTTCATACAAAATACTTTGCTTGACTGGTAGTTACGGATTTAACAAAATATCTTTTCAGTAAGCCAACAGGTCCACTGCGACAGAATATTTACTGTCTAACAGAAATGAGCATGACAACTGCAAGTCATCTCTTTCAAATAGGATTCCACACAATAACCTTGCAAATACTCATTTGCCACACTTTGCTTCAGGTAACTAACCTGTCAGACATTTTACCATACATACAGCGTAAAGATGCAGCTAGCAACATTATTTCATCATTATATTTTATCATATGTACAGGTATTTTGCAGTCAATTTGACTTGCCCAAAAACCAAACTTTGTCGGTTCTGATTAAACTTTATATAAAAATATTGTTAATTGCCCAGCATGTCTGTCAAACCCTGAGTTAAACATTACACAAGTTTGTAGATACTGACAAAAGCATAGAGCCTGCCTTCATGCATTTTGTTCCCTTTTGAAATTTGAAAGAAAAATACATATCTTGTAATTCATTCAAGGACTATTGTCTCAGTTTCCACATACACAAACATGCTAGCTATATCTGACTTAGTTTTTCCAAGCACTTTGTTGCATCTTTAAGCTTTCCTACAAGGTCTTGCAGTTGTTCAAGAGAGCAGGAAAACTGGACTTCTTTTAATTCACTGTCCCCAGGCTGTTCAGTCTTTAAGCTTATAAGGTACACAGGCTCATTCACCTTGTCAAGATGATTGTTCTTGATGTAGTAGTCCAACCTCCAGTCAATATCAACAATGTGAGGAGGGCTATTTCCTACACTTCCAAGTAAGATTTGAAGAGATGGTTTCTGAGCCAGGAATATTGAATTGAAGCTGTTTATTCTCTCTGTTGAAAATTTACAGTCTTCAAGTATAGAACCAATTGTCTCACTCTCAGAGTCCTGTTTCGCTGCTTCAAGTATGAGAGTCACGAGTCCTGAGTAGGCGGCTTTTAATGACGGCTTGTCTACATCTTTCATGTCAGGGTGACCAGAGACGGCATCTCTCAGTCTTGGGTCAAGAACACCTTGACACGCTTTGCTTACTAGCGTTTTGAAACATTTGTCTGGGATTCGGGAACTATCACCAGCAAGAGAAAGGTTTTCCACGACACTTGGGGCAAGTTCCATCGTAAAATATAGGTTTTCAACGAGATCATGTGACACGCCCACTGACCTGAATTTCAATGTCTGTTAATGTTTCGCCTCGAACTGCCGCACACAGTGACTATTTTTCAGCGTATTTGTGATCATATGAATACATGTTACCTCATGACTATACGCAGATTCATATGTTCATGTTCACTCGGTGCTCATCCAGGAAATTGACACAAACCCAACATTAATCAACCACTCTCGGTCTGCAAACAGGGGTTAAGGTTGTTGAAAGCTCTGTAGCGCGGCATTTGCTGACTTATGTGCTCTCAGCGAAGCCTAATAACAATGTACGGAGAATTGGAAATTCCTGTCTCACCGGTGAAAACTACTTCCGGCTTTGCAAGGCGTCAGGCATGTGCTTTGTTATTTATGATCGCACTGCTAAAAATGCTTATATATTTCATTAAGTCTACGACAGATAAGCTAATGTATACGAACAATTGCTTCTGTTTAAAAAGGATTTAATGTCTGTCAAGCAGTGATTCAATCTTAGAAACTGAAATAAAGGGTCGACATTTTCTCTACCAATTTGTACTCGTCTCTGAGCGCTCTGTCGTATTCTGCTTTGACAGGTCAGAGGTTACTCTCGCTGTGTCAGACCAACACGACACATCAGTGTGCGAGATGAATAATGCAAAATAAACAACTATTTGACGACGTGAATGAGTTCACAAGGAGCCGTTAACAAAAATCAGCTCGCATAAATATGCAATCGGACATAATATTCTAATGACAGTCGTTAAACCTACAAGCTTGTTTAAAAAATGATTAACAAAATACTTTTCTTTCACAATTATTCTCATATCTCCGAATATATGCATGTTAGTGCAGCATTCATGCTTAATTTCTGACTATTGTTAAATAATTGTTTTGTTTCCAATTTTAGCAGGGAACAAGCTGTATCCACCATCATGACAGTTAGGTCCACAACAGCGAGTTTGTCAAAGCTTCGGGCGTTGATGAAGAATATTAGTTATGTGAATGAACCCATTCATGCATACATTGTACCTACTGGTGATGCGCATCAGGTGTGTAAACATCTGTTGGTAGAATAATGCTACCAATGCTACCTTAAGGACTGTTTATAATTTATGGCTGGGGGGTGTGTGTGTGTTAATGATGATTTTATGGAGAAGCATGTACAATGTGAATGCAAACCCCCAATTTTTTACAAAATAAGTGACACCTCCCACACACGTCATGTACAAAATCAATGCCCCCCCTCCCTCCTTCCCATAATTTATACGCATTTTTTTAAACATATTTTTATGTATAAAAGTGGTGACTCCCCTAGTACGTGTGTACAAAATTGCTCACCCCGACTAGCACCCCAGAACAAAATGGGTGACGCCCTTAAAATTATAATCACCCCCCTAGCCATAAATTATGAACGATCCCTTAGTAAAAGTAAAACAACATATCTCGATTTTAGAAGTTCAGAAGTACAATATAAGCAAACTTTATGGATAACAACTTTTTTATTTCATGAGTGCAGGAATGATTGACAATGGTACGAGAATCTGTATTTAAACGTCACACTTATGATATAAAGAAGTTGTTATCCACAAAGTTTGTCTCTATAGCTCTGACTTGCTGCTCTGATGTAACCATGTATATTTACAGAGCGAATATGTTGCTGACTGTGACACGAGGCGAGCCTATATTTCTGGTTTTACAGGATCTGCAGGTACTGTACACATGTATTTGTAGATCATATCAAACATATACCATTGTAAGCAGATACAATCAGTGTTGAGGGCATTACATTGTATTGAAGGCTCTGAATAAACTGGCACAAGCTTTTCTTACTGATCTTGTGCATGCCTGTGAACCTTTACTATCAGGGGCGGTGGGGTAGCCTAGTGGTTAAAGCGGTCGCTTGTCACGCTAAAAGAGCCAGGCTGGATTCCCCAAATGGGTACAATGTGTGAAGCCCATTTCTGTAATCCCCACCATGATACTGCTGTAATAATGCTAAAAATGGCATAAATCTTCATTTTACAGAAGGTTTACTTCCATTTATGTAAATGTCCTCCTAATCAGGGGTGGTGGGATAGCCTAGTGGTTAAGCCGCTGAAGACCCGGGTTTGATTTCCCAAATGGGTACAATGTGTGATCCCAATTTCTGGTGTCATGATATTGCTGGAATATTGCTAAAAGCGACATAAAACTAAAACTCACTCTCATTCTTCATACAGACTAACATTTAGTCTCTGAATTATATATGATTTGGATAGTAACAAATTAACCCATTTTTATTGAAACCCCTGTAGGATTTGAGATCCTGAACCTGAGGAAATCTAAACCTGCTTTAAGCATTGCAGGAAGGGCTAGGCAGTAGGGAACAAAATGTGTTTTAGGGACTGTGAGACAGACTAACTCTTCATATTACAGAAGTTGACTTGCATATATATCAATTTCCTCTTAATCACATCGGCATGAACATGAATTGGAAAATTTGTAAGCATTGTAATTTCACTGGCATTTGCCAGTTTCAGCAAAATACCTCTGAAAAAGGTAAAAGCCATTATATATACTATTCACACTTTGCTAAGAATCAAATCATTGATTCAACAGAAAACTATGATGTGGGGTCTAATTTGGTTTAAGTATCTAAGCTTATTGTAAGCATGGATCCTAGGTTTCAGTATGTCACTGCATCTTGTGGATCCCATACCTGCTATTGGCAGGTGTTGTGTACTGTCAATGACTCGTTCCATGATTTGCAAAATGGTTGACTGGTGCCCATTCTCTTCCCACAGAGGTTACTTGTCATATCTTCCGACGAACCTCTGTTCTAATACGGCCCTTTCATGGTGCGAGTGTTCAGGATTCGTCATCGGTTGCAATCAGATTTAGTTGAGCAATCAGCGACGTTGTTTCAAAAGTGATCATTCGCAAGGCCTTGGTAATTTCCGTATGCTTCAGGAAAGCTAGAACCTCTTCCCCTGCGTGATGCGCAAACGTTTCATCTAGACAGAACTCAGTCATGTAATGGCAGATCAATGGCATCTCCATCGCCCTTGTTGACAATGGACACGCTAGCCTATAAATGTCTTGTGTGTCACATCAACACAATTCCCTGCTGGTGGGGGACATTTGTGGCCCCACATTTGTTTAATATTAGTCAAGCTGGATCTAAATTCGGCGTAACACGTGTTCTGATTGGATATAAAGAAGGGAGATAATTCGTGTTGCGACTTTTTGCCGCAAGGGGATTTTACGAGAACCGGGAAATATGGCCGTATTAGAACAGAGGTTCGTAAGAAGATATGACAAGTAACCTCTGTGGGAAGAGAATGACTGGTGCCATGAAAACCATTTTTATGTGTACTCATGTATCAGGTGCATAAGGTTAAATTAAAGTGGCTGTTTGCCTAAAGAGGTGTTACCACATTATTTATCCACTTTTAAATGAATACAATTTCAAATTATAAATCTATGTTTAAGTAAAGTTGTGAATTTTTGTGATCCTTAGCAAAGTGTTAGTAGTATAGTTGATAACATCAGTATTTAGAATTTTTCTAAATCCTACTTCTTTGTTGTTCAAAGGCACTGCCATAGTAACAGAGTCAAAGGCCGCTCTGTGGACCGATGGCAGGTATTTCCTCCAGGCAGAGAGACAGCTGGACAACAACTGGACACTCATGAAAACAGGTAACCAGTGCATGCTGAACATACACATACACCTCTGTTGGGAGGTGGGGTAGACACCTCTGTTGGGAGGTGGGGTTGCCTAGTGGTTAAAGTGTTCGCTCGTTACGCCAAAGTACCGGGTTGGATTCCCCACATGGGTACAATTTGTAAAGCCATTTCTGGCGTCCCCAGCTGTGATTATTGCTGGAATATTGTCAAGAGCAGTGTCAAACCATACTCACTCACTCAGTGATGAGTTGGAATCCATTATTCACATAGAGCAGGATCCTCAGCACTAGACCAATGATTGTCATTATCATCAAAGTAAGTAAACATATCACCTGTTGCATTTTCCAATGCAAAAGTAACTGAATTACTGACGAGGGACAGCAGGATGCCCAATCCATTATGATCGTCATAGTCATTATCTTTAAGATACATTCTCTTCTAAATGACGCCTCCGTGGTTCAGTGGTTAGAAGCGGAAGGTCCGCGGGTTCGATCCCGACCGCGTTATACCAAAGAGCGTTAAAATATGGTACTTGTTGGTCCCTGCCTGGCTCGGCATTAATGGGTACAACAAGCACTGGTTACGAACTCCGAGTCAGTATAATGTGTCTGAGTGGGGTATTCATGCTTCACTCGCGGCATGGTATCTCAGTGGGCTAGCACTATAAAACCAGCTTAAGTCTGGGCTAGTACAAGCAGCCGCACTTACACATGCACACGCATGCACGTCGTCATATGAGCGAAATATTCTCAAGAACGACGTTAAACCCAATTCCACCTCACCTCACCTCTTCTAAATTGTCTGAGAACTACTTCACTCTGGGTTTACCTCCCATTAGCTGCTCCATGGTGATGACCTAAGGTCAGTTGATGATGGTCTACTTTCCTGAGTAATTCATTGGTATTTGAGTTTTTCTTATCAATATTTAAACTTCATTTTCATCGTCTCTTTGGTTTTTAAGTGCTGAAAATATCTTCTTTGACACTGCATACTTTGCATGAACAGCAATGCCTTATTAATTGATTGATATGCAGAAATATATGTGTTGAGGTTCACACAAGGTATTTGAAAGTAGTAACATGGAGGGTGACAGTTGTGTTGTTCATTTAATTTTATATTTTTGTAAGGTAAATGGTAAATGTGGGCCAATTGGTGTGTAGTACTTTTGTCAGGTATCCAGGCTATGCAACTACTTAGGTGAGGTCAAGCTTGCAAGGCCATGTTATGGTATATTCAATATCTGGGTTTTACTTTGACTCACAAACATGGGGGTCCCAGGGCCCTGATTATTAGTTTTAAAGGTCCTTGCAGGCCATATGAGGGGCCTGTGAAGTAACGGTGTAAATAACTGTATGTTTTGATCATTTTTCGAGCCTGAAATGAATCATTGATCATGTGGACTGATGGATGAAATGATGCACGTAACTGCTCTGAAAGAAACAACCAAACACTTAGCGAAGTGAAAGATGTTTTGTGGGTACAGAGAATAACATTGTGTGTCCCTCTGGATGCCATGATATATTTCTGCGTCCATTATCTTCATTTGCATGTCGTGTTAACCCTGTTCAATATGGTATGAGGTATGTGGTATATTCTGAGAGATGTATGATATATTGTGTGAGATTGATGGTATATGGTGTGAGATGGATGGTATATTGTGTGAGGTATATGGTGAGAGATAGATAGTATATGGTACATATTGAATCAAATGTTTCTGACATCCACATCCCTATTTTGTTTCAATAGGTTTAAAGGACACACCTACCCAAGCAGAATGGCTAGTTAAGGTAAAACATCAACAGATAGGTACATGTGCATGCAGTTTTAACCCTTTTTATGAGTATTTTTTTAGTTAGATGCATGATTTAATGATTCAGAGAGTCACTGACATGAAATCTTGGTAATGTGTAATGCGCAGCATTATGACATGGCATCAGATTTTGTGATAACAACCAACTTTGAATTTTCAAAAGGTTTCTCTTTCTCAAACTGCTGGAGTCATCAGTCAAATCACTCTTGGATGGTAGGATTCTAGGAAATATTGAATGATGCCAGATGTTTCATACTGTGCACATCACTCCATAACGTTTTGATGATTATGGTGATTCATGATTTATTCAGGAGCTGCCAACTGAAGGGAGAGTTGGTGTCGACCCCTTTCTTTTTTCTGTGGGTAAGTATTTACAGTGTGGTCAGTCAATTGCAGGGCTCCAGATATATTTTCAACACCAGGAGTACGTACTCCTTACTGTTTCAATGCAGGAGTACTGGAAAATCTTAAGAGTACATTTAGAGTACTTAATGGAATTTAATGGAGTACCAGTAATCTTGTGTTTCGTTTCATATATGCACCACAACATTGGTACTCTTGTGTAAACAGGTCAATAAACTATAAAACAATACTATTTTTCCTTATCCTGACTCATGCTCTTTTGCTTGTCTTCTTCTTCTTGCGAACATAGTGGAACACTTGTATCTCCTTATTTGAAGCTCCCTTCAAAATAAAATCACTAATTGGTACTCACCACGAGTTGCTCCCCTTTTTCTCCCCTGGCGGGAAAGGTGTCGCCACCCTCTGGCCATGTGCTCCACTCTCTCCTTCTTCGCCCAGTGAGCAGGATGTGAGAGCGCCTTGTGTCTCCTTACACACATATCCTTTGATAATCTCTTAGTTTTACCTCTCATAGGTTACTATAGAGGTATAGCTAGTATCCTTTACTATTTGTATTGATTAATTATCATTATTTCTACTGTTTATTCCGTGTGTTAGGTGATTGTTCAGCTAGCTTTACGTTCATGAAAATCTATGCGATTTGTAGATTACGCTTTTTTCTGCCTCCGATCCACATGTAATATGCCCTAGTTGTTCTACGCCCGTTAATGCGTTTAATTCCGCGTTGCAGTTACTGCATTAATTTATCTCATTCTGCATTTAATAAAATATCATCTTTGCGTCTTTAAGGCGTGCTGCAGATAGATCAGCAAACAAAGGGCAAAACATGGCAGAGAGTCCAGATATTCCTTCCAGTCAGCTGCTAGCGATCGACCTCTCTCCCGTCTGGTGTTCTGCTAGAGACCCCTGCGGCAGAGGAGCGTGGGGACGCAGTCCGTTACCTCGAGAAGCGACCGGCCTCCCCAGACATCCGTCATTTGCAGACTAAGTCTAAGAGGACCTCATCGATCGATCTCAGCGCCCAGATTGAGGGACCCAGGGCAGCGCCAGACTTCCAAAGCGGAAATCTCACGAAGACAGCAAGAACTTTCTCAGCCGAGATGGTTCCAGCAGCAGAGTTGGGCCTCCTACGATGATCAGCCGATAATCATCCCGACTTACGGCAGAAGGCGACCGGTGTCAGCGACTGTGACTTCTGCAGAGATCTCCATGCAGCCTGATGCCTCTACACCCGGCGTCAGGCGTCATTGATGTGAACCCCATCGCAGAAAAGAGCGCCGGCGACGGCCGTCTAGATCATCCCAGAAGACATGATCACGGCAGATTATGAACATCATGGAGGACCACTACAAACTGCGCAAAGCGAAGTCCGAGCTGCGAAGGCTCCAGCGTGAACAGCACCCCAGAGGCACCCCCGTCAACGTAGCAGCCAAGACGCGATGTCACCTTCCAGCGAAGGAGTCCGCACCACCTTGGACGAAGGACCTAGATGTACAGCTCGGGCGAAGGCCTTAGCGGCGGGAGAGATCATCACCATCTTGATTTCATCTCTAGATATGGACTCAGACCATCCAGACATCCACGGAAGCCTCGCGAAGGTCATATCATCGATCCCCGGACGGACGTAAATGAAGCTCAGCGAAGGCATTCAGCGAAAAGACATATGATTCCAGATCTTCATCGTCTAGAAGAACATCGAGGGACTGCCGAAGAGCTTGTGCCAGCTATCAACATTCACCTCACAAGTCTCGAAGATCATCCCATAGGCGATCTCCTCCGATTCATCACCAGGGTGGATCACCCATCAGATCTCCACATAGAAGCACAAGTCAACTAGATGCATACAAACCTCATCAGATATTCAGACAGCTACACGCCAGTCGAAGAGCATCTACAATTTATTAATGATGATGGTTTTGAGGATGATGGAGGAATCATATTTTCTGATGCAGAATCACGGTATTGGATGGTCAATAACCTAGATCTCACATCACCATCTAAAAGTGGCAATACAGCTCAGGCGTATTTGATGAAGGAAGATGATCAGATGCAATCACTCTACCCCGATCGACCCGATTGCGGCAGTGCCACAGAATCTAGATGCAGCTTTCCAGAAAGCTCATACGAAAGTTCAGATACCACATCTACCCAACTTTCAAGCCAAGAAGTTCTCCACGATAACATGGACTCCTTCTACAAGGCCCAGGACATCGATGAGAACTATAAGATCATCAGCGATGTAAAGAACAAGATTTACAAGATGGATGATGCGTTAAGTTGGCTCATATAGAAACCATGGCCGAGGCATTATGTTCTTTGGGTTAAATAGATCTAGGACGATCAATGAGACTCTTATTACTAGATTCGGGATTCCACGCTGACGGAAGATGATAGAATGATTTATTCTGCCTTACTTATGCAAAGAAAGATCAGCAGTTTTAGCGGATCATCTTTACATCTGTTTCAGCACTGACCTTGGCTCGTCGTCCAAGGCCTCCTGCGCCTCCTGTAATTGGGGAGAACTTTACAGCCCACTTTATACAGCCCGTGGTGGAAACAACATCCATCTTTGACGGAGAAATCGACAAGGTCGCCAAGGAAGTCTCTAAGGATTCCAGGGAAGTCCTTATGATTAGATCGATGGACACACTAGCCAGCGTCATTAGGTCAGACTTCACAAGATACTCAGGCAGATCTAAGTTCGGGCCTACAAAGAGCAAGAGACAGGAAGATAGCCAGCTCTAGAGGTAAAGATTCTTTTAAAATTAGCCCATATGGCAACTATAGAGGAGGATCAGGAAGAGGCAGGACACCCAGAGGTTCCGCAATTATAGGCAGCTGAAACACAGGTTGAGCGACTGGAGTCTTCCACCCCCAGCCGTTCCAGTACAACCAGCTCAAGTGGGTGGGCGCCTCCAACTACACTGGGAAAACTGGGGAATGTACTGCAAGATCCTTACGTCTCAACATTATTCAACCGCGGTTTCATTATCCCTCTACAGGACAAGCCTCCGCTGACAATCAAACCCCCCAAGTTGATTTACAAAGCGCAACAACTACCAAAGATAAAGAGGCTGTCTCATCACTCCTATCCAAACAGGCCATAGAAGTAATAGATCAAGCAAGCGTCCGAACCAGGTTTCTACTCCCCAGTTTTCCCTGGTTCCCAAGAAAAACTCCACGAGAATACAGACTCATCTACAACATGAGCTTTTTCAACAAGAACTATCTCATATGAAACCACGAAGTTTAGCATGATACATTTACCTCAGTTACGCCAGATGATTAGATCCTATGGACTACATGGGCAGCATAGATCTACAGGATGCCTACTTGCACATCCCCATTCATCCCGATTCCAGGAAATACCTACGATTTACTCTAGAAGGGCTACATTACCAGTGGAAAGTACTCCCCATTGAGATATCATCAGCCCCTGGCTATTCACGAGGATAGCGAAACCGATTATCAAATTTCTACATGCGTCAAGGGGCTGCAGTCGCGTTTTACCTCGACGACGGGATACAAAGTGAATCAAGATCCACTGCGTCTCAAACTACAGTTAAACTACATCATAAAGCTACTAACACAACTAGGTTGGTTAGTAAACTTACATAAGTCGGACCTAGTACCATCGCCAAGACCTACAGTTCCTAGGTATTCGATTCATCACAAATCGCAACCGTATTATGGTACCAGAAGACCGTTGGCTCAAGATACAACAGACCATTCCACCAGCTCTACTCTCTCCGTTACCACTGCGACAATGGCAGAGCCTACTAGGTCTTCTCACATCAGCCCAAGACATGACTGTCACGGGCAGATTACAGTTACGTCCCCTACTGAGTCCTCATCAGCGCACATCTCAGCGATGTACAACCATTCAGTCTACCGAAACATCTCAGACCACATCTACTATGGTGGACCAAGAATCGAATGTCTGCGAAGGGATTTGTTTAGCAGAGCAGGAATACAAAACCCATCTGTATGTAGGCAGCGTCACTCCAAGGTTGGGAGCTCATCTCACCAACCACCACGATATCAGGGTTATGGAATCAGCAAGAATGCAAACTCCATATAAACAGTCTAGAAATGAAGCTGTAATCAAGCTGCCATTCTACATTTGGAGCACATTTCTACAAAATGCAGCCCTAATGATCCATACAGACAATTCGACAGTGGCGTTCTACATAAACAAGCAAGGCTCAGCGAGATCGATGAACCTTTTGAACCTAAACTTTCAACTGTTGATTTAATACAAGATCTAAATCTACATGTCAAAGCAGTGCACATTCCCGGAGCCAGAAATATACTAGCAGGCGCTCTCTCGGCCTCATCTACCATCACCGACCAAGTGGATGATCAGCAGGAAATTTTTTGCACAGATAATCAAGCAATTAGGGAGCCGCTAATAGACCTAATGCGCCCGCGATTCAGCAATCAACTACCGACATTCGTGTGTCACCAGTCCCAGACCCCCAAGCTTGGGCAGCGGGCTCTAAGTCTATCATGGGAAGGCCTCAATGCGTGCAGCGTTTCCGCCCGCCAGCAATAATACCTCAAGTATTACAGAAAATCAGACAAACACAGAGCCTACAACTCACTTTGGTCGGCCCTACTGGCCGGCCAGAGCGTGAGTTTCCCATACTAATTCAAGAAATCGGTCAACCAACACTGGAAGCTGCAAAGTAGCGCAAACCTGTTAATTCATCCTCACACCAAACAAGTGCGCGAAAGCCAGCAATGTTCCAACTACTGCGTATGGACTGTATACAAATGTGTTTAAACAAGAGGATATTCTGCCAGGGCGGCAAAAGCAGTCAAGCTTGCCTTCACGTTACTCAGCTTCGTAACTTATGCGACGACAAGTGGCACAGTTTCGAAAATTATGCAACAAAGAAAGGGTTTACAGCAAGAGAGCTTCACAACCTCAGAGTGGCAGACTATTTGTGTTACCTCGCCAAAACAAACATTTAAAAGGTTCAGCGATATCAACATATCTTGCCGCGCAAGCTCTGTAATCACCATGAGAGCAGGGTGTCAAATTGACAAGATCTCCAGAGTTACTGGCCTTACTCACGAGCTTTCCGATTGGAGGACCAAAAGCGGAAGTTCCACCCCAGCTTGGGATCTGAATGTAGTGTTACAACACCTCGCAGTGAGGTCTATGAACCAATGGAATCGACAAACTTTGAATTTCTCTCACAGAAAGCTTTTGTTTTCTGCTATCGCTAGCCACAGCAGCAAGAATGTCTGAAATTCAGCTCTGGATTACGAGAGGGATACGGTTTGATGACAATCATAACACAGCACCCTCGGATTAAGATGGGATTTCATTGCAAAAGAATCAACTGCCAGGTCAACCAGACAGATTATTCCACATCCGAGCGGCTATCCTCTATTCTCCGGATCACAAGATACACAAGACCTATCACTGTGTCCGGTAAGAGCACTCAAAGTTTATTCACGACGATCCAAAACAAAGGAAGATTTCTCAAGCGTTTATTCATCCCATTATAAGCCTACGAATCAAACAGAAGTGTCACGGACCACAATATCTATTTGGATAAGGACTGTCATTCTCCATTGCCTACAAGGCGGCAGGCTTGGACCCACCAACAGCATCAAATCCACATGAGATCAGGGCGCTGGCCTCTACCCTCGCCCTACGGTAACTGTTCCTTGAACACGATTATGGAAGGATGCATTGTGGAAATCTAACATGGTATTTGCTAATCACTACCTAAGAACATCACTACAGAAGATGTCTCTGGCATCCATTTTGGACCACTGGTCCTCGCTCAGCAACTGACAGTCCCTCGTGAAGCGTTAAAATATTAGCCTCACAAGATTAATATGTATTTTATACATACTCATCTGGCTTATAACTCTAAGGAGTTTTAGGGCTATGTATATATGTTCAGCTTAAGTATTCTACCTTAAGCATATGCTTGGATATAGTCAATTTCGAAGGTTGCCTCTATCAGAGTCACCTATATATATATATATATAATTTATATGTATTGTTCAATATATTCATAATGTAATTCCCCTTAATGGCTTTATATAACCTATGGTTTTCTTTATACAGGAAACATCCTAAATCTAAGACTTCCATGAAGTTCCCGTAGGGAATGCATTACAGTATATATCTATACAAAATCACTAATTATAAATCAAAGTATTCTATTTACCCACCTCCGTTCCAGTAGGATGCTACAAACAAAAGAGCATGAGTCAGGATAAGGAAAAATATGTAATTTTAGAGTAAAATTGATATTTTATACTTATCCTGACTCATGAGGTTATCTCCCATCCTCCCCACATAACACTTTGGATTTCCCTGTAAAATTCAAGTGTTGGGCTCGCTAAAATCAGGAGAGAGTGGAGCCACATGGCCAGAAGGGTGGCGACACCTTTCCCGCCAGGGGAGAAAAAGGGGAGCAACTCGTGGTGAGTACCAATTAGTGATTTTATTTTGAAGGGAGCTTCAAATAAGGAGATACAAGTGTTCCACTATGTTCGCAAGAAGAAGAAGACAAGCAAAAGAGCATGAGTCAGGATAAGTATAAAATATCAATTTTACTCTAAAAATTACATTTTTTCAGATAAATATGATTCTAAGACCATACACCATGGCGGTAGTGCGTATCTGCTGCGTTTTCTAAATTATTACCTACCGTATCGTGCACATTTTATATCCGTACATACGCCGATACGGCCCTTATCTGGAGCCCTGTAATTGTTGACCACCCCCTGTTGTCAACATGAGTTGAAGGCCATGAGTTGAAGGTCTTGGTTGGATTGGTTAATGTGTTGGCTTGTCACGCCGAAGGCTTGGGTTCAATTCCCGACATAGGTGAAATGTGTGAAGCCCATTTTCTTGTGTCCCCCACCATGATATTGCTGACATATTGGTAAAAGCGATGTAAAGCCATGCTCCCTCACTCACTTGGTTCGATTCAAGAGAATTTTAAAGGTGCTTCTTTTGGTTATCCTGCCTGGAGTTCAGCATTGAGAGAAAAGACAAGGATTAGATGGCTTGGAGTAGGGTATTAAATTAGAGCAGAGTATCACATTGGCTAGTACATAGATAACTGGCTTAGATTTGACCAGGTCAAGCAGCCTCACACACATTCAGGCACATACACGCACTGTACTATACTATACTCAACTCAACTCACTTGTTAAACTGAAGTATTGTCTCTATTTCACTAGAAACAAACATATTGGTGCTTAAATGTTTAGACCGCCTCCGTGGTGTAATGGGTAGAGCGTCCGCCCGGAGAGCGGAAGGTCGTGGGTTCGATCTCCGACTGCCTCATACCAAAAGACGTTAAAAAATGGTACTTGTTGGTCCTTGCCTGGCGCTCGGCATTAATGGGTACAACAATGACTGGTCCACTCGGAGTCAGTATAATTTGTCTGAGTGGGGTATTCATGCTTCACTGCGGCATGGTATCTCAGTGGGCTAGCACTATAAAACCAGCTTAAGTCTGGGCTAGTACAAGCAGCCGCACATATACACATACACATGCATGCACATCGTCATATATATGAGCGACATATTCTCAAGCACGACGACCCGTGAAGATCCGGGGTAGAATAGGTCTTCAGCAACCCATGTGCTTGCCATAAAAAGGCGACTATCTTGTCGTAAGAGGCGACTAACGGGATCGGGTGGTCAGTTTCGCTGACTTGGTTGACACATGTCATCGGTTCCCAATTGCGCAGATCGATGCTCATGCTGTTGATCACTGGATTGTCTGGTCCAGACTCGATTATTTACAGACCGCCGCCATATAGCTGGAATATTGCTGAGTGCGGCGTAAAACTAAACTAACTCACTCACTCACTCACTCACTCTCAAGCACGACGTTAAACCCAATTCACCTCACCTCACCTACTTATATGTTTAGAATCCTACTTTCTGCCTGCCAACCTCTCAAGGCTGATGGTCCTTTAGGCATGTCATGTCCCTCCCCCCCCCCCTCCCCTCCCCTCCTCTCCTCTCCTCTCCTCTCCTCTCCTCTCCTCTCCTCTCCCTCCTCTCCCTCCTCCTCTCCTCTCTCCTCCCTCCTCTCCTCTCCTCTCCTCTCCCTCTCCTCTCCCTCTCCTCTCCTCTCCTCTCCTCTCAAGGCTGATGGCCCTTTAGGCATGTCATGTTCCTGAAGTTGATGAGGATCACTAACTGATGTGGAAATGTCACCGATTTGATGCTTGTTTTCAGAACAGTGGAAGCCATTGTCCAAAGAGCTGAAGTCCAATGGTCACAACCTGGTGCAGGTGTCACAGAACTTGGTGGACATGGTGTGGGAGGATAGACCTCCACCCCCAAACAACCCCCTCCTGGTGCTGGGCCAAGAATATACAGGTAGCTGTTATATAGACCCCCACCCTCCCAACAACCTTCTCCTGGTGCTGGCCTAAGAGTATACAGGTAACTGTTATATAGACCCCCACCCCCAACAACCCCCTCCTGGTGCTGGGCCAAGAATATACAGGTAGCTGTTATATAGACCCCCACCCTCCCAACAACCCCCTCCTGGTGCTGGCCTAAGAGTATACAGGTAGCTGTTATATAGACCCCCAACCCCCCTGGTGCTGGCCCCAGGTAACAACCCCACCTCCCAACTCCTGGTGCTGGCCTAAGAATATACAGGTAAGCTGTTATATAGACCCCCACCCTCCCAACAACCCCCTCCTGGTGCTGGGCCTAAGAGACACCCCCACCCTCCCAACGAATTAACTGTTATATAGCACCCCCTCCTGGTGCTGGGCCAGGTAACTGGTAGCTGTTACATATATAGACCCCACCCTCCCCAACCCCCTCCTGGTGCTGGGCCAAGAATATACCTGTTATATAGACCCCCACCCCCAACAACCCCCTCCTGGTGCTGGGCCAAGAATATACAGGTAGCTGTTATATAGACCCCACCCCCCCAACAACCCCTCCTGGTGCTGGCCTAAGAGTATACAGGTAGCTGTTATATAGACCCCCACCCCTCCCAACAACCCCTCCTGGTGCTGGCCTAAGAGTATACAGGTATACAGGTAGCTACAGGTAGCTGTTATATAGACCCCCACCCTCCCAACACACCCCTCCTGGTGCTGGCCTAAGAGTATACAGGTAGCTGTTATATAGACCCCCACCCTCCCAACAACCCCTCCTGGTGCTGGGCCTAAGAGTATACAGGTAGCTGTTATATAGACCCCCACCCTCCACAACCCTCCTGGTGCTGGCCTAAGAGTATACAGGTAGCTGTTACACCCTCCCAACAACCCCTCCTGGTGCTGGGCCAAGAATATACAGGTAGCTGTTATATAGACCCCCACCCCCTCCCAACAACCCCCTCCTGGTGCTGGCCCAAGGTATACAGGTAGCTGTTGTATAGAGTCCCCAACCCCCAACAACTCCTGTGGCCCAAGAATATACAGGTAGCTGTTGCTAACACACAACAACCCCTGTCTCTGGTATACGACCCCCAACAGCCCCTCCAGGTCCTGGCTCTGGAATACAACCCCCTTGAACCCCCTCCAGGTCCTAGCTCTGGTATATGACTCCCAACAACCCCCCCCTGGTCCTGGCCCTGCAATATAACCCCTACCACCCCTACTGGTCCTGGCCCTGGAATACATGTGTTGTGTAGAGATTGTTAACATCCCTCACCCCCAGCTGAGTGTTGTGTGGCAGGAGTAAACTCCAAATGTTGACGATGTTGCAGGTCAGACATGGCAGGAGAAGGTGAAGCGGGTGAGGGAGAAACTTCACAGCAAGCAGGCCACGGCCATTGTAGTCACAGCCCTCGATGAGATCGCATGTAGGTACCACACTCTTATCCCCTATATAGCTCAATATGATCACAATTTATGCATCTCGCCCTGTATAGCACAACATTTAGGTTTCCAAGTCCAAAGAGGCCCCAAGTACCTCACGCCCATGTATGTCAGTTGCAGTGGGGATTGGTGGTCATATTCCTCGGTGATTGCATGTCATCGTACCCCAATATCATCGATCCATGCTCATGCTGTCAATCACTGGTTTGTCTTGTCCAGATCCAATGATTTACAGGAGCGGTGAGATACCCTACCGGTTAAAGCGTTGGTTTGTCACGCCGAAGGCCCGGATTCGATTCCCCACATGGGTACAATGTTTGGATCCCATTTCTGGTGTACCCTCGCTGTGATATTGCCGGAATATTGCTAAAATTGGCATAAAACTAATCTAACCTGCTCACTCACCTAACAGGCATTTGTAATATAGTTTCAGTGTTTCTAGCTGCTGCTTCAAGTTTCGTTTGCTCCCTCAGTGTAATGTAAATCTTTTTGTGAAGTGTGTCATGATTAGCAATAATCTTCATAAATGTACCTGAGTATATGAACATAACATGTGACTGGACATGATTGGAGTCGCTGCTGCATGTCCATCTTGGAAAAATCTCCATGGTATACGTTCCAGTAAATCCTCACTAGTACCCTGGATGCATCTACGGCATCTATGATAATTGTATTACCTCCCTTTGCTGGCTTTTTATCCAATCAGGTCTCTAAGGTGAGAAGTCGGGCGAACCAATCACAAGGCTTCTATCATAACTCAATTCTGCTTCTTTATCTAACCTATTAAACAGCGAGCAAACCACAACTCCATTGTAACGACTTATCTGATTGGCTACAGTAATACAATTATCGAGGCTGAGCTGTAGATGCCACCATCTTTGTTGACACTGGCAAGCTCCATTGTAACGACTCCTATCTGATTGGCTACTGTGAGGAAGGCTGGAATATTGCTAAAAGCAACTCACTAAAACCAAACTCAGTCAGTCAGTCTAGTGTCTCCTGCTGTAATATTGATGGATTATCGCTAAAAAGCGGTATAAAACTAAACTCACTTGCTCTCGCTCATTCACTCTTAGTCTGGTGTACACACACTGGACTGACAATACTGCAGTAGTGTCACAACGTTTTGTAAATATTTCAGTCTGGACCAGACTGGCATCATCCAACTGAGCGAGTCTGACCAACCAATACCAGTAGTCCCATATTGCGTGAGTGAGTGAAAAGGCATCAGGGTAGCCTGATGGTTAAAGCATTCACTGATCACGCCCAACACCCGTGTTCAATATTCTCATGGGTACAATGCATAAAGCCCATTTCTGGTGTCCCCTGACGTGATATTACTGGATTATTGCTAAAAGTGGCATAAAACTAAACTCACCCACTCACTCACTCTTGGAGTAATACATCATGATACAGTGAGTGAGTGAGTGAGTGAGTGAGTTTAGTTTTACGCCACACTCCGCAATATCCCAGCTATATGGCAGCGGTCTGTAAATAATCGAGTCTGGACCAGACAATCCAGTGATCAACAGCATGAGCATCGATCTGTGCAATTGGGAACCGATGACATGTGTCAACCAAGTCAGCGTTAGTCGCCACTGACCATCCAATCCCGTTAGCGATCGCCTCTTACGATAAGCATAGTCACCTTTTATGGCAAGTACATGGGTTGCTGAAGACCTATTCTATCCCGGATCTTCACGGGTCCATCATGATACAGCTGATGTGTCAGCAGCCACCCTGCTTCAGACTGATATTGTATCTCCACAGGGCTGTTCAACCTCCGGGGCTCCGACATCCAGTACAACCCGGTGTTCTTCTCCTACTCAGTCATAACCTTCGATGGAGTGTAGTAAGTTCACTTGTGTGTGGATTTAGGACAAATAGTAGTTTTAGGATGAAAGGTGTCTAAACACCTGGATATATAGTGGTTTTAGCACTAAATTAAAAAGTGTTTTACTATTAGGCTGTAATGTGTTTTATCATCCCAAACTGTGTTCCACAGGAGATATCGCTTGTGTGAGATCAGACGATATCTCCTAGGCGATATCGTTTTGGCAGTAGATTTTGCACAATGCCCTCACAATGCTGTGACGTCATGAACTTGATGATGTCACAATGCTATGACATCGCTGCACTGCAAATCTAATAGCAGTACAATGTTCAGAGATGTACATTTTGTATTGAAAACTAATGAAGAGTGCTTTTTGATGTTCAATAGAATCTCACTCGAGTGTCTTCTGATATCAAATATATCGACACTCGTTGATAAAAGTAAAAATATTCTCAGCAAGCCTCGGATATCTGTTACTTTATCAACTCGTGGTGATCGCATGGAAGTTGATATCAAAAGACACTCGTGTTAGATTCTCTATTTAGCACTAGGATATAAGTTTTATAGCACTAGTACATAAGGTGTTTTAAAACTAGGATATATGTTTTTTCAGCACTGGTATATAAGGTGTTTAACTAGGATATACAGTGTTGTAGCACTAGGATATATGATAGATTTAGAATCAGGAAATATATTTTTCCTTATCCTGACTCATGCTCTTTTGCTTGTCTTCTTCTTCTTGCGAACATAGTGGAACACTTGTATCTCCTTATTTGAAGCTCCCTTCAAAATAAAATCACTAATTGGTACTCACCACGAGTTGCTCCCCTTTGTCTCCCCTGGCGGGAAAAGGTGTCGCCACCCTCTGGCCATGTGCTTCACTCTCTCCTTCTTCGCCCAGTGAGCAGGATGTGAGAGCGCCTTGTGTCTCCTTACACACATATCCTTTGATAATCTCTTAGTTTTTACCTCTCATAGGTTACTATAGAGGTATAGCTAGTATCCTTTACTATTTGTATTGATTAATTATCGTATTTCTACTGTTTATTCACGTGTATTCGTGATTGTTCAGCTAGCTTTACGTTCATGAAAATCTGTACGATTTGTAGATTACGTTTTTCTGCCTCCGATCCACATGTAATATGCCCTAGTTGTTCTACGCCGTGTGCGTTTAATTCACGTTGCAGTTACTGCATTAATTTATCTCATTCTGCATTTAATAAATATCATCTTTGCGTCTTAAGACGTGCTGCAGATAGATCCGCAAACAAAGGGCAAAACATGGCAGAGAGTCAGATATTCCTTCCAGTCAGCTGCTAGCGATCGACCCTCTCCGTCTGGTGTTCTGCTAGAGACCCCTGCGGCAGAGGAGCGTGGGGCATGATCCGTTACCTCGAGAAAAGCGACCGGCCTCCCCAGACATCCCGTCATTGCAGACTAAGTCTAAGAGGGCCTCATCGTCGTCTCAACGCAGATTGAGGACACCCAGGGCAGCGCAGACTTCCAAAGGGAAATCTACGAAGACAGCAAGAACTTTCTCAGCCGAGATCGTTCCAGCAGCAGAGTTGGGCCTCTACGATGATCAGCCGATAATCATCCCGACTTACGGCAGAAGAAGCGACCGGTGTCAGCGACTGTGACTTCTGCAGAGATCTCCATGCAGCCTGATGCCTCTACACCGGCGTCAGGCGTCATTGATGTGAACCCCATGCGCAGAAAAGGCGCCCGGCGACTTCGTCTGAATCATCCCAGAAGACATGATGCGGCAGATTATGAACATCATGGAGGACCACTACAAACTGCGCAAGCGAAGTCCGAACCCAGCGAAGGCTCCAAGCGTGAACAACACCCCAGAGGCACCCCGTCAGCGTAGCAGCCAAGGCGATGTCACCTTAGCGAAGGAAGTCCGCACCACCTTGGCGAAGGACCTAGATGTACAGCCTTCGCGAAGGCCGAGCAGCGGCGGGAGAGATCATCACCATCTTCGATTTCATCTCTAGATATGGACTCAGACCATCAGACATCACGGAAGCCGCGAAGGTCATATCATCGATCCCCGGACGGGACGCAAATGAAGCTTAGCGAAGGCATTCGCGAAGGACATATGATTCAGATCTTCATCGTCTAGAAGAACATCGAGGGACTGCGAAGAGCCCGGCGAAGCTATCAACATTCACCTCACAAGTCTCGAGAAGATCATCCCATAGGCGATCTCCCTCCGTTCATCACCAGGTCGATCACCCATCAGATCTCCACATAGAAGCGGCGCACAAGTCAACTAGATCGCCACAAACCTCATCAGATATTCAGACAGCTACGCGCGGTCGAAGAGCATCTACAATTTATTAATGATGATGGTTTTGAGGATGATGGAGGAATCATATTTTCTGATGCAGAGATACGGTATTGGATGGTCAATAACCTAGATCTCACATCACCATCTAAAAGTGGCAATACAGCTCAGGCGTATTTGATGAAGGAAGATGATCAGATGCAATCACTCTACCCCGATCGACCCGATTGCGGCAGTGCCACAGAATCTAGATGCAGCTTTCCAGAAAGCTACGAAAGTTCAGATACCACATCTACCCAACTTTCAAGCCAAGAAGTTCTCCCGCATAACATGGACTCCTTCTACAAGGCCCAGGACATCGATGAGAACTATAAGATCATCAGCGATGTAAAGAACAAGATTTACAAGATGGATGATCGCAAGTTGGCTCATATAGAAACCATGGCGAGGCGTATGTTCTTTGGGTTAAATAGATCTAGGGACGATCAATGAGACTCTTATTACTAGATTCGGGATTCCACGGACGGAAGATGATAGAATGATTTATTCTGCCTTACTTATGCAAAGAAAGATCAGCAGTTTTAGCGGATCATCTTACATCTGTTTCAGCAGCACTGACCTTAGCTCGTCGTCAAGGCCTCCTCGCCTCCTGTAATTGGGGAGAACTTTACAGCCCACTTTATACAGCCCGTGGTCGACAACATCCATCTTTGACGGAGAAATCGACAAGGTCGCCAAAGGAAGTCTCTAAGGATTCCAGGGAAGTCCTTATGATTAGATCGATGGACACACTAGCCAGCGTCATTCGTCAGACTTCACAAAGATACTCAGGCAGATCTAAGTTCACGGGCCTACAAAGAGCAAGAGACAGGAAGATAGCCAGCTCTAGAGGTAAAGATTCTTTTTCGTAAGCCCATATGGCAACTATAGAGGAGGATCAGGAAGAGGCAGGACACCCAGAGGTTCCGCAATTATAGGCAGCTGAAACACAGGTTCGGAGCGACTGGAGTCTTCCACCCCAGCCGTTCCAGTACAACCAGCTCAAGTGGGTGGACGCCTCCAACTACACTGGGAAAACTGGGGAATACTGCAAGATCCTTACGTCTCCAACATTATTCAACACGGTTCGTATCCCTCTACAGGACAAGCCTCCGCTGACAATCAAACCCCCAAGTTCGATTTACAAAGCGCAACAACTACCAAAGATAAAGAGGCTGTCTCATCACTCCTATCCAAACAGGCCATAGAAGTAATAGATCAAGCAAGCGTCGAGACCAGGTTTCTACTCCCCAGTTTTCCTAGTTCCCAAGAAAAACTCCACGGAGAAATACAGACTCATCTACAACATGAGCTTTTTCAACAAGAACTATCTACGCAAACCACCGAAGTTTCGCATGATACATTTACCTCAGTTACGCCAGATGATTCGTCCTATGGACTACATGGGCAGCATAGATCTACAGGATGCCTACTTGCACATCCCCATTCATCCCGATTCCAGGAAATACCTACGATTTACTCTAGAAGGGCTACATTACCAGTGGAAAGTACTCCCATTCGGAATATCATCAGCCCCCTGGCTATTCACGAGGATAACGAAACCGATTATCAAATTTCTACATCGTCAAGGGCTACGCAGTGCGTTTTACCTCGACGACGGGATACAAGTAGATCAAGATCCACTGCGTCTCAAACTACAGTTAAATTACATCATAAAGCTACTAACACAACTAGGTTGGTTAGTAAACTTACGCAAGTCGGACCTAGTACCATCGCAAGACCTACAGTTCCTAGGTATTCGATTCATCACAAATCGCAACCGTATTATGGTACCAGAAGACCGTTGGCTCAAGATACAACAGACCATTCCACCAGCTCTACTCTCTCCGTTACCACTGCGACAATGGCAGAGCCTACTAGGTCTTCTCACATCAGCCCAAGACATGACTGTCACAGGCAGATTACAGTTACGTCCCCTACAGGTCCTCATCAACGCACATCTCAACGATGTACAACCATTCAGTCTACCGAAACATCTCAGACCACATCTACTATGGTGGACCAAGAAATCGAATGTCTGCGAAGGGATTTGTTTAGCAGAGCAGGAATACAAAACCCATCTGTATGTAGACGCGTCACTCCAAGGTTGGGGAGCTCATCTCACCAACCACACGATATCAGGGTTATGGAATCAGCAAGAATGCAAACTCCATATAAACAGTCTAGAAATGAAAGCTGTAATCAACGCCATTCTACATTGGAGCACATTTCTACAAAATGCGCGCCTAATGATCCATACAGACAATTCGACAGTGGCGTTCTACATAAACAAGCAAGGCTCAACGAGATCGATGAACCTTTTGAACCTAAGCTTTCAACTGTTCGATTTAATACAAGATCTAAATCTACATGTCAAAGCAGTGCACATTCCCGGAGCCAGAAATATACTAGCAGACGCTCTCTCTCGGCCTCATCTACCATCACCGACAGAGTGGATGATCAACCGGGAAATTTTGCACAGATAATCAAGCAATTAGGAGCGCCGCTAATAGACCTATTCGCCACGCGATTCAACAATCAGCTACCGACATTCGTGTCACCAGTCCCAGACCCCCAAGCTTGGGCAACGGACGCTCTAAGTCTATCATGGGAAGGCCTCAATGCGTACGCGTTTCCGCCGCCAGCAATAATACCTCAAGTATTACAGAAAATCAGACAAACACAGAGCCTACAACTCACTTTGGTCGCGCCCTACTGGCCGGCCAGAACGTGGTTTCCCATACTAATTCAAGAAATCGGTCAACCAACACTGGAGCTACCCAAGCGCGCAAACCTGTTAATTCATCCTCACACCAAACAAGTGCACGGAAACCCAGCAATGTTCCAACTACACGTATGGACTGTATACAAATGTGTTTAAACAAGAGAGGATATTCTGCCAGGGCGGCAAAAGCAGTCACGCTTGCCTTACGTTACTCAACTCGTAACTTGTACGACGACAAGTGGCACAGTTTCGAAAATTATGCAACAAAGAAAGGGTTTACAGCAAGAGAGGCTTCACAACCTCAAGTGGCAGACTATTTGTGTTACCTACGCCAAAACAAACATTTAAAAGGTTCAACGATATCAACATATCTTGCCGCGCTTAGCTCTGTAATCACCATGAGAACGGGTGTCAAATTGACAAGATCTCCAGAGTTACTGGCCTTACTACGAGCTTTCCGATTGGAGGACCAAAAGCGGAAGTTCCACGCCCCCAGCTTGGGATCTGAATGTAGTGTTACAACACCTCACGAGTGAGGTCTATGAACCCTTGGAATCGACAAACTTTGAATTTCTCTCACAGAAAACATTGTTTCTGCTATCGCTAGCCACAGCAGCAAGAATGTCTGAAATTCACGCTCTGGATTACGAGAGGATACAGTTTGATGACAATCATAACACAGCGCACCTCGGATTAAGATGGGATTTCATTGCAAAGAATCAACTGCCAGGTCAACCAGACAGATTATTCCACATCCCGGCGCTATCCTCTATTCTCGGATCACAAGATACACAAGACCTATCACTGTGTCCGGTAAGAGCGCTCAAAGTTTATTTACGACGATCCAAAACAAGGAGAAGATTTCTCAAACGTTTATTCATCCCATTATCGCCTACGAATCAAACAGAAGTGTCACGGACCACAATATCTATTTGGATAAGGACTGTCATTCTCCGTGCCTACAAGGCAGCAGGCTTGGACCCACCAACAGCATCAAATCCACATGAGATCAGGGCACTGGCCTCTACCCTCGCCCTACACGGTAACTGTTCCTTGAACACGATTATGGAAGGATGCTATTGGAAATCTAACATGGTATTTGCTAATCACTACCTAAGAGACATCACTACAGAAGATGTCTCTGGCATTCACCATTTCGGACCACTGGTCCTCGCTCAGCAACTGACAGTCCCTCGTAGGCGTTAAAATATTAGCCTCACAAGATTAATATGTATTTTATACATACTCATCTAGCTTATAACTCTAAGGAGTTTTAGGGCTATGTATATATGTTCAGCTTAAGTATTCTACCTTAAGCATATACTTGGATATAGTCAATTTCAGTGCCTCTATCAGAGTCACCTATATATATATATATATAATTTATATGTATTGTTCAATATATTCATAATGTAATTCCCCTTTAATGGCTTTATATAACCTATGGTTTTCTTTATACAGGAAACATCCTAAATCTAAGACTTCATGAAGTTCCGTGGGGAGATATTACAGTATATCTATACAAAATCACTAATTATAAATCCAAAGTATTCTGTTACCCACCTCCGTTCCGTAGGATGCTACAAACAAAAGAGCATGAGTCAGGATAAGGAAAATATGTAATTTTTAGAGTAAAATTGATATTTTATACTTATCCTGACTCATGAGGGTTAACTCCTCCCATCCTCCCACATAACACTTTGGATTTCCCTGTAAATTCAAGTGTTGGGCTCGCTAAATCAGGAGAGAGTGGAGCACATGGCCAGAGGGTGGCGACACCTTTTCCGCCAGGGAGACAAAGGGAGCAACTTCGTGGTGAGTACCAATTAGTGATTTTATTTTGAAGGGAGCTTCAAATAAGGAGATACAAGTGTTCCACTATGTTAGCAAGAAGAAGAAGACAAACAAAAGAGCATGAGTCAGGATAAGTATAAAATATCAATTTTACTCTAAAAATTACATCGGAACACCAAATTTATTCTTTAAAAACTTGTGGTTAATTAATACCCGGCGATTAAAAGTGGCCAAAAATTAAGCCTGCTTCCCTCTAAGCCATATGAAACCACAGACGGGTTACGTAACTCTGTCGCCAGAGCACTGCAGTGGCGTCATATGAGGAGCGATTTTCAGTTAGTTGTATAGAAAGTGTGTATGCGCTCATCATTTTGATGATTTCTCGACATGAGCGACGACATGCGAATCGTTGCTTTGTCGTCAATTGCTCCTAGGGGTCGGGTGATGGTGTCACCATGCACAGATTTCCACAGGACCCGCAGTTTCGTGCTAAATGGGTTATGTTTGTGAGTCGCGAAGCTGGCGTTGTGGAAGCCTGAAGCGATATCTTACTTGTGTTCAGATCGGCTTCACGGAAGTTAAAGAATCAAAACTACTTACTAGTTATAGTAAAATATGTATATGATTGATGACCATAAAGATTTTCCATAACACAACTTGTAACATAACGATTTCTTCCTCGGAAGTGAGGTTGTGGTCGAAGTAACAATAATATTGTAAGTAGTATTATATTGACACCCACCTCGCTGCCAGGAGAGAAATTGTTATGTTATCGCTATGTCATGCAAAATCCTATTGGCCATCAATAAAATACATATTTTACTACCAGTAGAAAGTAGTTTTGATTTTGTAACTTTCGGTGAAAACAAACCTAAATAGCATTTATCCACAGACTGGCGGATGTTCCGACAGAGTAGCCATTTTGAAAATCGTAAAGTCTGTTAGAATTAATGAGATTATAGTTTGTTTTCATCAAGTTAGAAAATCAAAACTACTTTCTACTAAATGAGTTAAATATGTATTGGAATCATAACCAAAGGGTTTTGCATGACACAACTTATAACATAGCGATTTCTTCCGCGAGGCGAGGTGGGGTCGAAGTCACAATACTGCGCGATAAATTTCTTGCTACATTCACATGGTTAATGTCCACTCACCAGTATGTAGATACTAGTCAGTAATGCGTCTTTATATTTGGTCTTATAATCCTAATTAGTTTATTATCATACTTTTATGCATTTTGAAACTAAATAAAAGCTGACGATCTGCTGATACTTATAGTGAATTTATAACAGAACTGTAATATCTAGACATTTTATAGTTTGCCAATGTGAATCATAATTCGCGCACACACCCTAGTGTATGTTGTCTGTCTCATTACACTTCACGGCGAAAACAATGATTCTGTTGAATGCTACGACAAATGATTAAAAACAAAATGCAAATATTAAAATTAAAACAGATTAAAGTTATAGGAACAATATCAGGCCATTACCTTGTTTGAGGAATGTATCCATCAATATCCACAAAACTGTTCCAAATGATGTGTCTTTTAACAGTTTAATATCACGAAAAAGTGATAAATCTTTTCAGGTATTGGTGTATAGTCTCATTGGTCACCCAAGATAGCACACCTGGCAACTAATTGCATAATGTCCGCCTTTCATTAAAAACAGTAATTTAGTTAGCCAATAATGGGCAATCAATCAATGTATTGCCGGTTAATCCTTTGAAAGAAGGGCGTTGTTTTTACGCGCCAGACACCGACACGGCAGAGTGTATTCAGTATAGATTAGTAAATCTACATACATAAACACTACCTTTTGACAATTCCGCTGTGTAAGATAAAAGTAATTAATCAATCAGCGTGTTATCGGTTAATCCTTTGATCGATGTTCATAATGTTGAATATTTACTCAGACACAAGAAATGCCAAATGGGAACCTTTGTCGGGTAATCTAAGTGTGTTACCACTAATTATACCTGTTATAAATTCATTAACTGACCATCAAGTGAATGATGACAAATAACATGTGTAGGTTTATACCACCTAACACGGGTTACAACAAGGGAGTATTAATTGCTGTATTGCATGTGAAAACTTATGGGCCGACACTGTTTGAGAATACAAACAGATTTTTACATGACATGATTAAATATCGAGGGTAAAAAACACAGAAATGGGATCAATTTGGATCAGTCATTATACAAATAGGGCCTAACGACACCAATCAATTGTGACAGAAGCGTCTATGAAAACAAGTTGTAACTTCGGAAACTAGGCAAAGCAGGAGACAAAATTAAATGACAGTAGATTGTGAGAACATATAGCTTTCATTTTTCCACAACAATTGTCCGCGATTTCAGGTTTATACAAGCCTGTAAACAAGATAATTTACCCCCTAAAATGTAGATGAATTCTGCATCGGCCCTCAAAGCTATTCCTCATATGACGTCACAGAGTCGCGCCGCTCTGATTGGTTGAAATTTCGTTCGGGGGTGAGAATTGTGCACTGTTGTCAAAAAGGTCGATTTAAGTCAATTAAAGGTCGAAATGAGTAGTTTTAATGACGGGGTTGCATTTATAACGATGCCAGTTAGTGATTTATGTATTTTTAACCCCTAGGGTTTATGTGACCTTTAAAGTTATTTCCATCCCTGGGTAAGCAGTATAAGAGTGTGGGTATGCGTTTGAACAATATGGCAAGCAGCAGATGGCTTTTGGAACAAACTGCTAACACTACTGTACAATGTTTATCTATATGTGACAGTATGTGAACATGTGTTTGCAGATCAGTGAAAAGTCAAGTTATGCCTTGGTCAGTCTTATTCCAAAGGTAAGAATTACAATAGTTTTCTGTTTCTTGTTCATGGCTTATGTAATTACAGTAATGGTGATATTACAGCTTGTTCTGTCATGAAAGAAGTAGTTCTTATAGTATATCAAATATAAGCATAATGTTATTAGAATGGAATTTTAACACTGGTTAATCTCTAATGAGGAGTCTCCTGGCTGTGTTACCATGGTTACTTTTGCTGTCATCAAGATCTTCTATGAACCATGGGGCAGTGGGGTAGCCTGGTGGTTAAAGCATCCGCTCGTCATGCCCGAAGACCCGGGTTCGAGTCCCCACATGGGCACAATGTGTGAAGCCCATTTCTGTTGTCCCACGCCGTGATATTGCTGGAATATTGCTAAAAGCGGCGTAAAAACCATACTCACTCACTCACTCTATTCACCATGAGTGTTCTTCAACCTAATTCATTCTGTGTTTACCTCCCCTTGAAACTACCCAAGCTACCCACCCTGATAGCCCATTTGTGGAGCTCTCTTTCCTATCACTGCCACCACATGTTTTGTTGTTCTAGGTGATACACAGTAATACATGCAGTTGTATTCGTAACCCGATGACTGTTATGTTTATAAACAAGCTGTAACTGTTATGATGTTTCTAGTTATCCCATTTGTTGCAGCTGAACCGCCTGACGTCCCCCCTCACCGGTTGCTGCCTTCAAAGCTGTCAAGAACACAGTGGAGATTCAAGGGATGAGGAGAGCACATGTATGTACTGATGAAGTTTATAAATTCAAACCAAGGCCACACTTTTATGTTTTTTGTCTGTCAATACAAACATAATAAATTGTCCAGGACAATCCCAAATATTTGAAAATTTTACTTGGCATGAACTTGTTTGGGTTGTTTAGTAAAGTGAGAAAAAACACTAGTGAGCATTATTGGTGGTCCGATTAATTGAAATAATCGAAGATTGGTCGCAGTGACTAAACGACCAAGCAATCGATCATGTTTTCTCATAATTGAACAGAAACAATTCTGGAACACTTGTTTGCATTAACAATATTTTTCACAAGGTTGGTTTTGTCTGTTACATTTCATGACCACTACAAGCTCGTTCCAAGTCATGATTGAATTTATCTTCAAGACTCCAAGAAATTAATGTTCCTAACCTACTAGTCATCCTGTAAAGATGTGAAATTTGCCAATGCCTTTTGTGCAATTTGCAAAAACACCAAAGAACTACAGTTTTTTTTCTTTATTTTTTTTGTCCATTAACAAAAATAATCAGGAAAATTTCATAAATGACGCTAACCAATTATTTTCGATGATAATTGATCAGTTGTAATGAACCGATCATCAATTATGAAATTTTGACCAATTCCCAGCACTAGTGAGCATGCATTTTTGTATCATGAAATTACTCCCCCCAGCTACAACAAAAAATACTCTCATTTGACTTGTATATGTTTATGAAGTGATTTATGAGATATGATTTATATAGATAAAACGTTTCACTGTGTCGGAATGTTGTGTCCTGTTTGTTGTAGATCAAAGATGCTGTAGCAGTCTGTGAATTCTTCCACTGGTTGGAGAAAGATGTAAGTATATGATGATCTTGATACTAAACTTGATACATTCACGCAGGCCTAGACCAGCTTGAATTACTCTGCAGATTATCATCCAAATGAGAGTAGAAGACATTGTTTTTCTCAAACTGGTCAGGGGCGGTAGGGTAGCGTAGTGGTTAAAGCGTTCGCTTGTCATGCTGAAGACCCGGGTTTGATGGACACAATGTGTGAAGCCCATTTCTGGTGTCCCCCGCCGTGATACTGCTGGAATATTGCTAAAAGCGGGGTAAAACTAAACCCACTCACTCACTCACTCAAACTGGTCTATCTTTTGACATACACTATTGATAGTTGTGATTCTTATGATGAATGAACATGTGGGAAGTTGGCTGTGTTCACATGTAGTTCGTCAAGTGACTCACTCACTCTCTCTCTCACTCACTCACTCACATGTTTGCTATGTTATGTTTGCCTGTTGTGTAAGGTTTATTCAGTTCCAGTTTCTCATAGGATAGTGGAATAGCAGGAATTTCAAAGGCTGCTATTTATCACAGTGGAAGGGAGATATAATTCTTTGAAAAATCAGGGATGCTGGCTATCGAGAAATGTACCAATGCAACCTCTCTGTTGTTTCAGCTCTCTAATGGTACGATCACAGAGGTTTCAGCTGCTGATAAGTTGGAGGATTTCAGAAGGTAAATTCTATGATTGAAAACTAAATAAATTCAAATCATTTAAATAACTTAGAACAAACAACTAAATCTTATTTACGATTAGCTCACCTGGTTATATTTGCGTTTATATTCCAGGCAACAGGAGGACTTTGTCAGTCTCAGTTTTGACACAATATCCAGTATAGGACCTGACGGCGCTATTATTCATTACAAGTAAGTTGGACAGATTGACCTGTGTTTACAACAGGTCATTTTTAGGAGTAGACTCCGGCATGTTAGAGCTTGAGTCTGTCCGAGGGACATGTTGGGGGCTGTGTCGAATGTAAATATGATGGAGAACACTGAGTATGAATTACCTGTTACATTTCAGACCTTCAGCAGAGACTGACAAGCCAATCACAAGCGACCAAATATACCTGTGTGATTCCGGGGCACAATACAGGTGAGTGAGGGCCCTAGAGTAAGTGAGTGAGTGAGAGTGAGTGGGTGCAGAAGTTGCACTGCCATTTTACTGTGCATTAATGCTTTACAGTAGTTATTTTTCAGTGTGATAGTGTTTTCTGTATGAGTGAGTGAGTTCAGTTTTACGCTGCACTCAGCAATATTCCAGCTTTATGGCGGCAGTCTGGAAATAATCGAGCCTGACCTCCCAATTCCGTTAGTCGCTTCTTACAACAAGCATGGGTTACTGAAGATCAATTCTAACCCGGATATTCACAGGTCTCTTCTGTATGAGGAGTTTTCTGTGTGAGTCATGCTACTCACCAACTTTGCCACTTAGAGCCACCCTACTGAATAAATTATTGCACACCGGGGAAATCCTTATGTATATTCACCTTTATGCCAAAACACACGTGAAGTCTATTCACATAAATACATGACTGATGATGGGTCGTCACACTATCGACCACAGGGTTGTATCAACCAATTGCCATTGTTGATAGGATGTGAACAGGCTGACAGGACATGTCTAAAACAACATTTGATCATGTTAAAAATTTATACAAACCTGTAGAGGTTATGAATTCTTTGAAGAAAGTCCTCCTTGGGGTACATATAAGCATTTAAATGTCCATTTTAAATCCTACGACAGTTGTAACTATATTTTTTAATAAAATATTTACAAAACAAAAAACTCGTTTTTGTCTTGTGAGACCACCCCTACAGGGCCCCACCGGACCCCCTATAGCCAAGAGCAGGTAACTCTCGCCGTCTACCTCGTACCTCACTTTTTATGCTGTCGTTCATCTTATATTTTGGGCTCAAATGTAAAAAAGCATTGTTAAACAGAAATGTGTAAAATCATTCTTTCCTCAGAAAGATCCAAGTTGGAGTTTTTCTTCTTTCAGAGATGGAACCACAGACATTACCAGAACAGTCCACTTTGGATGTCCAACAAAATATGAACAGGTTAGATTTAGAACATTCGTAAATATAACTATCTGCTCATTGATACAGGAGTCACAGAGTCTTCCTAAGACACATCACCTTTCTTCCGATCCTGGTTCACCTCCGTTACATGTGAAAGCCTTGTACCCATGGTGGTAAACTCCTGAGACCTGCATTGCTCCAGGTTTTGCTCCCACCTTAAAGGCACTATATCTCATTTCACTAGAAATAGACAATTCTCTCAATAATACTAACTATCAGCCCTTAGGGAAGCTATCATATAATTTATTCCAAAAACAAGTAAGTATTTAGATTACAATGTTAAATTTATAAGTTCGAACGAATAAATGTAACGTTGCATTAAAATTGATTCTCGTGCCCTTTACCGACCAAACTTTATTTCAAGCGAAACCCATAGAGTTACGTCCCTTGGAGCGCTCTTTACAAATATCATGCGCACAACTTGTGATTGAAACCAGTTTGGCAAACACTGACAAAACCGTGTGCTAGTTTTAGATATGTGGAGCGATTCAAACAAGTGATTCAACTCACTCACTCGTATTCTCATGTTTCAGGAATGTTTCACAAGGGTTTTGAAGGGTCATATCAACTTATCGAGGACAGTGTTTCCAAACGAAGTGAAAGGTATGATAAGAAACATAAAGATGCTGAACATGAACATTAAAACCATCAAACAGGGTACCATTTTGTTCAGCTGTGACTATTTATGATTTTGTACTTGATGCATAATATGCCACTGGTGTATTCAAATACACTTCATTCAGATATTTTAATAATGTCTGCTAGTATTGTAATCCCTGAAAAACTCAGAAGTGTACTATGACATTGTTAAACTGTCTATCTATATCTAAGAGTAGGCGACCCATGAAGATCCGAGTTAGAATTGATCTTCAGTATCTCAGGCTTGTTGTAAGAGGCGACTAACGGGATCGGGTGGTCAGGCTCGCTGACTGGGTTGACACGTCATTGTATCCCAATTGCTTAGATCGATGCTCGTGCCGTTCATCACTGGATTGTCTGGTCCAAACTCGAATATTTATGGGCCGTTTAATGGAATATTGCTTAGTATGATGTTAAACAACAAACAAAATAGATTAAGCAGCACAGCTGAGTCTCATAGACTTCAAATTGTCACAGAGACAGCCTCATATATCAAATAAATTGGTTGACTGGTAATTCACATTGTATTTGTACTACAGTTGGTGTAATGCTTATGTCTAAAATGAATGAAAAACAGGTCACATTGTACTTGAAACTGTCACTTCACTGCTCTGTGACATTGTTGTATGATGTCATACCATTGTGTGGGATGCCATCGGAACTGCACTTTGAAGTTGAGGGAAATTGTTCTCATTATCCTACAGAAAACATCTTCCTTCCTTCCAAGCAGGTGTCCCAAGATCTTTTTGCATCTTTTATCACTTTTAACCTGAGATAACACATTAGAGGTGAGGTGAGGTGAAATTGGGTTTAACGTTGTGCTTGAGAATATTTTGCTCATATGACGATATGCATGCGTGTGTATGTGTATGTACGGCCGCTTGTACTAGCCCAGACTTAAGCTGGTTTTATAGTGCTAGCCCACTGAGATACCATGCCGCAGTGAAGCATGAATACCCCACTCAGACACATTATACTGACTCCTAGCCGACCAGTCCTTGTTATACCCATTAATGCCTAGCGCCAGGCAAGGACCAACAAGTACCATATTTTAACCTCTTTTGGTATGACGCGGTCGGGGATCGAACCCACGACCTTCCGCTCTCCGGGCGGACGCTCTAACCACTACACCATGGAGGCGGTCACACATTAGAAGTAGAAGGATGTTCCATGATAGCACTCTTTGCATATGTTTGTCAAGTGACAGTGGAGTGTGTTTGCTCCTATGTTAATCCAAGGACCGTTGACATATTTCCGTGTTTACACCCACCAGGACACAATCTAGACACATTGGCGAGGGTGGCGCTGTGGGAGGTTGGGCTCGACTACTTGCACGGCACGGGACATGGAGTCGGAGCTTTCCTTAATGTACATGAGGGTGAGTCGATTTTATTTTTGTCATCATCATCATCATCATCATCATCATCATCATCATCATCATCATCATCATCATCTTCTTCATCATCATCATCATCATCATTATCATCATCTTCATCATTATAATCATCATCTTCATCATTATTATAATCATCATCTTCATCATCATAATCATCATCATCATCATGATGAACATGTTTCATGTTACAATTTCATTATTCTGTGACCCGTAAAAATCCGGAATAGAACTGATCTTCAGTAGCCCATGCTTGTCGTAAGAGGTGACTAACGGGATCGGGTGGTCAGTCTCACTGGCTTGGTTAACACATGTCATCGTATCCCAATTGCATAGATCGATGCTCATGCTGTTGATCACTGAATTGTCTGGTCCAAATTCGATTATTTACAGGCTGCTGCCATAAAACTGGAATATTGCTGAGTGCTTTGTTCCCGAAAAGCTGCAAGACCTACATCACTTCAGGCTTTGCTGCGATGTAACATCATCAAACCAACTCACTACGTCTGTTCTCCGTTCCAGGTCCATGTGGTATCAGTCCACGAGTGTCCCTGTCAGAAATCCCCTTAGAAGAAGGCATGATTCTGTCTGACGGTAAGATCAAGATTTTTACATAAAGATAGAAATGTGTATTTTAACGTCTTGTTCAAGAGTATTGTATGCACATTCTTTTATTAATAAAATAATCACTGAAAAAATCATTCCATAGTTTAACGTGGATATTAGTACCCAACTCAGACAGACAGTGCTGACTATGAACGGTCCAGTCCTTGTTTTATTCCCAGTATACTGAGCAATTTCACCTCACCTCACCATCTTTTAGAATCTATGGATGTGGTCATGGATGGTCTTTTCTTTTGGAAGACACTGTTCCAACTAGACCGTAGAGCCATCTTCTTTATTAGATATTGGCTGCCCATTTTTCTACAGTCTTCAGTAACCCATGCTTGTTGTAAGAGCCGACTAACGGGAGCGGGTGGTCAGGCTCGCTAACTTGGTTGACACATGTCACTGGATTGTCTGGTCCAGACTCAATTATTTACAGACCACTGTCATATAGCTGGATTATTGCAGAGTGCAGCATTAAACAACAAATAAACAAACTAAGATTAAGCAGTACAGCTGAGTTTTATAGGCTTCTGATTGCCAATATAGCAAGAATATTGTTGAGTGCAGCATTAAACAGCCAACCAGTAATATTTTGGTTATTGCGGTCTTGTCCCATCTCGGGTTCTTTAACATACCTGATGAAATAGGGATCAGTGCTGACCGCAGAAGGCATCTTAATGGGTCAGTGGTCAGGTTGTGTCACCTGGTGGCGTGGATATGTTGTTCATGGTATCGGTCACTTGATTGTCTGATCCAGGCACCATTGTTTAAAGGCCACTCGAAATAGTTGAGACTGACGTTAAACAAACTCAAATCTCTATATCTGTAAGCAGCACAAATATTATGGTAATCATTGAGGTCATCGTGAGAATTTCAACCATTTTTCAGAACCTGGTTACTATGAAGATGGGAAATTCGGAGTGAGACTCGAGAGTCTGGTGCTTGTAGTGAAGGCAGACACAAAGGTAACATAAGCCATATTGTCCTCTGTCATGTCTGCCCTGGGTGCCGTTGTACAAAGCGATCTTAGCACTTAGGTGATCCTAACTCTCATACCTAAACATAGGCTTAAGATAGTCTTAGCGCTAAGGTGACCTAAACTCTCATACCTCAACATAGGCTTAAGGTAGTCTTAGCGCTAAGGTGACCTAAACTCTCATACCTAAACATAGGCTTAAGATAGTCTTAGCGCTAAGGTGACCTAAACTCTCATACCTCAACATAGGCTTAAGGTAGTCTTAGCGCTAAGGTGACCTATACTCTCATACCACAACATAGGCTTAAGATAGTCTTAGCGCTAAGGTGACCTTAACTCTCATACCTCAACATAGGCTTAAGGTAGTCTTAGCGCTAAGGTGACCTAAACCCTCATACCTCAACATAGGCTTTAGGTAGTCTTAGCGCTAAGGTGACCTAAACTCTCATACCACAACATAGGCTTAAGATAGTCTTAGCGCTAAGGTGACCTTAACTCTCATACCTCAACATAGGCTTAAGATAGTCTTAGTGCTAAGGTGACCCTAACTCTCATACCTCAACATAGGCTTAAGGTAGTCTTAGTGCTAAGGTGACCTTAACTCTCATACCTCAACATAGGCTTAAGGTAGTCTTAGTGCTAAGGTGACCTAAACTCTCATACCTCAACATAGGCTTAAGATAGTCTTAGTGCTAAGGTGACCTTAACTCTCATGCTTTAACACAGACTTTAGATAGTCTTAGCGTTAAGGTCACTGTAACTCCCATGCTTTAACATAGACTTTAGATAGTCTTAGCGCTCAGGTCACTGTAACTCCCATGCTTTAACATAGACTTTAGATAGTCTTAGCGCTAAGGTCACTGTAACTCCCATGCTTTAACATAGACTTTAGATAGTCTTAGCGCTCAGGTCACTGTAACTCCCATGCTTTAACATAGACTTTAGATAGCCTTAGCGCTAAGGTCACTGTAACTCCCATGCTTTAACATAGACTTAAGGTAGTCTTAGCGCTAAGGTGACCTTAACTCTCATACCTCAACATAGGCTTAAGATAGTTTTAGCGCTAAGGTGACCTTAACTCTCATACCTCAACATAGGCTTAAGATAGTCTTAGCGCTAAGGTGACCTTAGGTTGTTTTGTACCACAGTACCCAGGCCATTGGAAACTGCTGAGTCAGTTGTGATAAGATCCTCTCAACTCCATGGCAACTCAAGGTTAAGACAGACTTATATTGTAGGGGATCTATATCAGACTGGAATGTTCACATGAGCTTGGCATGGTATATTCATTGACATCTGTATGTATATATACTACCCATCAAAAGTTTAGATTTACTAGTGTAGATGTAGCCACTTACTTCAGTCAACTGCTCTAAACTAGATTTTGCAAAATATTTCATACTGTTTGAAGGTACTGTTTACACATGAACTGATCTATTGTAAAACAGATTCGTATCGTTGAATAGATTATTGTCATGAGTTCAATAAATTATGAAACTCAGTGAAAATTGGCAAATTCTTAACAAAACTTTACACCAAAACACAGCTGTTCACAAGCACGATATTTGCACATGCTTTTCAGCAATTTTATGTATGATCTTCACGCAATTCATCTGCATAAGGTTTGCAGTTGGTTCCCCCAAGTTAGTGGAGAAATCAATCTTCGATGTAACCATATATATATATATACATAACATATAGTGAGTGCTTTAGATGAGTCTGTTGATGGGTAGTATATATAGAAGTGTGTTACCTGTTGGTATTCCAGGTTTGAAAGACCAGTGAAGATCCAGGTTAGAATTGATCTCACTAACCCATGCATGACTAACGCGATTGGGTGGTCAGGCTATCCCTTACATATATCGATGCTCATACTGTTGATCACTGGATTGCCTGGTCCAGACTAGATTATTTACAGACTGCTGCCATATAGCTGGAATATTGCTGAGTGTGTCATTAAACAACAAGGCAACCAACAACCAGGTTGAAGGGTCCCCATCCACCTATTCTGGTCAAAGAGGATCAGTTCATCATGTATTGGATCCCCCAGACATCAGAGCTAGGACTGGCTGTCCATGTACATCACAGAGATCAATAATCAGTAACTGAATATCAATTGATTATCAATACATATCTGAGAAGTAATTTTGAGCAAAACAAATTTTTGTAAAAGAAATCAACATATTTCACAACACTGGCGACATATTTAGACTGAGATTACCATGAAAACACCTTCTAAACATAATTCAGAAGCAGTCATTGAATAAAGACCTTAGTTTGTATATTGTCGGGGTGAATTTAAAGATTATTTCATCTCAATCATATTTGAACCACAGCATTTATCATGTATATGAGCCTGCCAAGTGTGCAACTATTTCCAGAATGCTTTCATCTCAAGCAGTATATATTTACCTACTACATGTTTACGTTTCCAGTACAATTTCAAGAAGAAAGGTTTCCTTACTTTTGAGCCCATTACGTTAGTCCCAATCCAGACCAAGCTGATCGATCCTTCGCTACTGGCGGAACAAGAGGTAGGTGAAGTACAATCTAACTGATGCATAATAAATGTTATGTATGTATTTTGGTAACACTTCCTGAGAAAAGTATGAATTCTAGTAGTTAGAGGAGTTGAGGCCTATCCAGAATTCAAACCTAAATTCTCAGAGTGTGGCCTCTAATTGCCACTACACAAAATCAGCGATCTAACCCACTCAGCCACTGTAGTTTCCATGGAAATCGAACTGATAATCTAGACCCCTCTGTGTACCCCCCCTGTGTATCCCTCTGTGTACCCCTCTGTGTACCTCCCCTGTGTACCCTTTGTATCCCTCTGTGTACCCCCCTGTGTACCCCCCTACGTTCCCCCTGTGTACCCCTCTGTGTACCCCTCTGACCAGTGGAAATTGGCATATCTCCTATGGAATAAGCTATGAATTCATAATTCCTTTTAAAAAGTTGTATTGACCCTTCCGTATTGACACTAAGAAAAAATGAAGATGGAAAATCCAACATAGCCCAGAATCCCAGAACCATCCAAAGATATGCAACACAAAAGATACTGATGGACAAACGATAATCCCTAACAAAACTCTCTCTCCTGTTCAGATCGACTGGTTAAACGAGTATCACATGCGATGTCGAGAGGTGGTCGGAGCAGAGCTGAAGAAACAAGGAAAACTGAAAGTCCTCGACTGGCTGATCCGGGAAACAGAGCAGCTGGGCTAGACATAACCTTCACCTTGATAATGGCCAAGTTTCGCAGAACGAATCACAAACATCAGTCTCGTTGATGGATTTGCGTAAATAAGTTTCAGGGGTTAACATTATGAAACCACACAAACAAGAATAAGAAATTGTTTAAAATTAACTATTTTCGTCCACTATTCTTATGAATTGAAAACACATGCAGAAATATTATTTTACATCAAAAGTTTTTGTCACACTACTGACCAGACAATTGTTTAAATATGAATTTAATTTGTTACGATTTCATGCATTTGTTTTGTCGTATACCAGACTTTTGTACCATTTTCCATAGAATGTTTACAAGCTGCATAGAGCATCAACTGAAAGTAACATATGTTATATTTGGGATTACACTTTCTTAGTAAAGTACAGATTCTAGTACTTTTTGGGGGTTGAGTCCCATCCAGGGTTCGAACCCTCAGAGTCAGGCACCTAGACCGGTCAGCCATCGCGGCTTCCCAAAAAAATGGAAGTCGGACAACTGGTAGTCTAGACTGCGGACTTTGTGTACCCCTCTGATAAGTGTTGATTGGCACGGCTCCCACGTCTGAAAGCTATGAATTACACAATCCCATTTTAGAAAGTGGTCAAATGTAACATATGTTATATTTGGGATTACACTTTCTTAGTAAAGTACAGATTCTAGGTGTCTGACATTGTGTGCTGGCGATTAGGTGCCTGACTCTGAGGGTGTGGGTTCGAATCCCGGATGGGACTCAACCCAAAAAAGTACTAGAATCTGTACTTTACTAAGAAAGTGTAATCCCAAATTTAACATGTTACATTTGACCACTTTCTAAAATGGCATTGTGTATTTCATCAACTGAAACTTGTGAATGAGTAGTTTTTAGTTTTGTACCAAGATGTAAATCTACGTCCGCTGAGACAGAATAGTGCCATTGTCTCCATAATATTTTATGCAAATCAAAAAATTAAAATCAATAATGCACAATCTGTATTAGCTAACTCAAACCTCAAAATGAAGATATTGTAAGTGATAATTAAAGCTTTAATTTTTTTAATGTTTTTTCCAAGTCACAAGCATAAATATTGCGTGCTTTTTTAAGTTTTCTCAAATACTGAGAAAAGTGAATCGATCTGACAAAAAAAGAATCCACTCAATTTACTGGTGGCACTGTTGTCTTAGACTCTGCAATTCTCTGTGTAGAGTTATCTCCCTTTGGTGTGCCAGAATCATTCTTCATTGTGATTCTAGACCTGGTTAAGGCTTGGATAACCAAGCACATGCTGCTGGGTTTCACCAGAGTGGTCTGTGTCAGAGACCTACATCACTCCAGGATTACCTCCCACAACAAACTGACATTCTGTTACTAGGGCTGCAACGATTCCAGATCTTAATTCAATTTGATTTTCTATATTGGACCCTCGATTCGATCATTTCGATTTGATTCTTCATACAAGATTTCATTTAACTCTTGGTGTTTATTAAACAAAACGTATCACACTAAAGACTTTTTCCAAGATTTGACTAGGAAATCAGGAATGTGAATGATGTAACCTTTTTGAAACAAATAAAATATGATGTTTAAACACAGGACAGCACTTTTCACTTTCTTGTCCAATGCCATTTTCTGAGTGTCATTCAAATTACATTTGTTTATAACATCACTAAGTTTCACTTTCCACTAGCTGGAGTCAAAATTACGTTCTTGCTGTGTGGAAAGAATTTGAATAGATATTCAAATATCAAATCAAATAGTGATAATGGTTGTCGAAAGTCAAAACTAAGGTGTCAGATTCGATTTTTGATGAATCTAACCGAATCGTTGCAGCACTATTATATAATGGGAAGATTGTTAAAGCAACGATTAAGCAAACTAAATGCAACGAATGAGAAAACTTACTCATGTCTTGATGAATGGGTATCATATGAGAGTAAAATATGTGACTTTAATGAGATTGATCACTGTGTTTCCTGTTGCTTAGTCATGGTTTTCTAAACACTAAGTTTCTCTGTCACCAATGTATACACACTGCCTCGTAGAGCTTTGTGGTCATTTGTCTGTTTTTACAATCTTTAAAAATTTTAGATCTTCCCTGGGTTTTGTACCTGTGAAGATCTGGGTTAGAATTTGTCTTCAGTAACCCATGCTTGTCGTAAGAGGCGACTAACAGGATCGTGTGGTCAGGCTCACTGACTTGGTTGAACCACATTTCATCATATCCCTATTGAGTAGGTCGATGCTCAAAGTGTTGATCACTGGATTGTCTGGTGCAGATTATTTACAGACGCTACAATATAGCTGGAATATTGCAGAGTGCGGTGTAAAACTAAATTCACACAAGCACCACATTTGGTAATTATGTTATGACAACAGTCAGGACATAAACACCCGGAGTCTGTATCTTTTGGAATCAGAGACATGTAATTCTTATTAAGGCCAAACCAATTTTATTTCTTGTTTTACAGATTTTTTGTCCTCAGAAAAACTAAAGGCAGGAGGGAAAAAATTTGTAAAAAAATCACCAGGTAATGTTCCTTTAAATACTAAAAGTATTTTACATCTGGCAATTTATAAAGTGTATATGGGGCAAAAACAATCTAAAAAAATTTTTCGTGTAAGTTTACATTGTGGTCAACAAAAACATCAGGTTGGTTTTTTTTGAGCAGGGAAATATCATTTGAATGTGTTTTCTTATTCTTGAAAAAATATGACCGGTGAATCCGTCAAACAAGAAATAAAATTAGTCTGTCCTAAGGTCAGGTCTTTCACTCTGATACGATATCACTCTGTATCCTATGTCAGTGTCAGTAGCTCATGTCAGATCTGTCACATAAGATGGCCGACCAATCAAAACAGAAGCTGACTGGGTTCTTGAGTCTGTCAGAGTGTAACTTTTCAAAGCAATCTTAGCGCTAAGCTGTAATAACTCCTATACCTTAACATAAACTTACGACAGTGGCCAGACTAAGCTTGTCTTGTACAATTGCATCCTGATGTCTTCTAAAGTAGTTTGCCTTCGAACTCATCACAGAACACAAATATACCCAATGACACTGTTATAGTGGCAGATACCATATGGAGTTCACACCCACAGGTTGTAAAAATATTCACCTCAATACCAATAACTGACTATTGACAATTTGCATTCAGATTTCCTGAGTCAAATTATTTTTTTGCGATGCACAAATATCATAGAAGCTACCGGTAGTCTGAATGCTTTGCTCACTCAAGCTAAGAATATAGAAGTGTCAGTACTCAATACTTATTGGCTGATTAGTTCAATGGAGATATCCTTGGTACTTCACGCAGAGGGGCATTGTATAAGCTTTAAATATATGATTTTAATGAGATTGGTCTTGATGGAGCTGTCTGCTGATATGGTTTTCCTGGAATTATGTGGTCTGGTGTATTTGAAGTTCCTCATACAACTTCAAACAGCAAGCAAAACTTACCATTTCATGATTTGTCAATCATCAATGAAATGTACAAGCCAAACATAATATTTTCTTGAACTTAACATGCAAGCCATGAAAGTCAGAACAATAAATTGTTTTGTGAAATTGTAGTCATTTGTTTTGTTATTTTTGCCATATTGAATCGATTTTCTTGACCTTGATCGTGATGTTTAGGTAGCTTAGCGGTCAAAACAGCAGCTCAAGCCAAAGACCAAGGTTTGTTTCCCATGTTGAACAAATTGTGTGGAGAGCATGTTTTGTTTTTGTTGTTTGACCGTCTCCGTAGTGTAGTGGATAGAGCATCCACCTGGAGAGTGGAAGGTCACAGGTTCGATCTCCGGCCGCATCATACAAAAACACGTTATGATACAGTTAGTCCCTGCCTGGCGCTCGGCATTAATGGGTACAACAAGGACTGGTCGGCTTGGAGTCAGTATAATGTGTCTGAGTTGGGTATTCATGCTTCACTGTGGTATGGTATCTCAGTGGGCTCGCACTATAAAACCAGCTTCAGTCTGGGCTAGTACAAGCAGCCGCACATACACACACATGCATGTCGTCATATGAGTGAAATAGTCTTAAGTACCACGATAAACCCCATTTCACGTCACCTTGTTTTTTGTTTTTTTAATGCACCACTCAGCAGTATTTCAGCTATATGGTGGCAATCTGTACATAATCAAGTCTACACCAGACAATCCAGTGATCAACTGCATGAGCATCTCGATCTTCACAACAGGGAGTCCATGATGTGTCACTCAAGTCACGAGCCTGACCACCTCAAAATACATTCACGGTTTGCTGAAGACCAATTTTAATCCGGATCTTCATGGGTCAGTTTGGTTTCCCTGACAATGACAGTGCTGGAATCATGCCAAAAGTGATGCCAACTTACTTCTGATAGAGTTACCATAGTTGCCATATTAAGCACCAGTTCCTTTAAGTAACCCTTGACCAAGTAACACAAATCTGTTGATAAGAGCCATCTACAAAGTCCAAATTTAACATGACAGTCTATCTTCTTGTGTACGTCGCAGAAAATATTTACAGGAAGCACAGAGGAGAAGGGCGCCAGATGTATGACTATTTATCAAAATGTATATGGTTCTTGAGTGCATCTCTCTTTGCAGACATATTAGCACCTGTAATAGTCTTAGGACTTGCATTGAAACAAGGACTTCGGTTTAAAAGATCCTTTACTCAGAAACCATGTAGTCAGCATGGTGGCCATTACACAGCAGCCAGGGGAGATCACTCTACTGGCATGTTTTACATTGAAGCTACATGTTTACAGCTATTTATGTTTATAGTGAACCTCTCTTAGCTATGATCTGAAGTGCATTTCACCACAGGGCCCTGGGTACTTAAATAAATTAATTAAATTCATGTTTATTTGAACATATATTAGTCAGGTAGTGAACTTGTTCACTGATATATAAAAACATATTTTTTAAAATGTTCCAGCATTTGATTGAAACTAGTTGGAATTGATCGGGTTTGAGATTTGTTTCTGAATCAGAGAATATTGTCCTATGTTAGTAACTAGAAACAGTGGGAATCTGTTGATGAAAACAAGCTGAATTGGTTGGGTTTGGGATTTGTTTCTTGAACAGAGACAATAGTGTCCCATTGTTAGTAGCTAGAGACAATGGGAATCTCTGTGTCACTTTCTACATGACAAGACAGGCTACCTTAAGAAAGTCTTTGTCTCATTTTGTCAACAGAGGTGTAAAGAAACATTGTCATAATCAACCAAGTACCTATCACTAAATGTACAGGATATTGTGCTATTTCCTCACTCTTTATTGTGTCAAAATACAAGCCTCATTAACCAAGTGGGGCGGTGGGGTAGCCTAGTGGGTAAAGCGTTGGCTCGTCACGCCGAAGACCCGGGTTCGATTCCCCACATGGGTACAATGTGTGAAGCCTAATTTTGGTGTCCCCCGCCGTGATGTTGCTGGAATATTGCTAAAAGTGGCGTAAAACCAAACTCACTCACTCATTCATTAACCAAGTCTGGTCGCTGATTGAGAAACAAGTTCCATTCATCCATTCTAACTTGTAGTTTCAGGAACATTACTCATAAGTTCTTTGGTATTTCTTTTTGCAACTTTGCTGAATTGATTGCTGCCATTGCATAAACCACTCATTATATGTCTTGATGAAACCTTTGAATATTTACATGCGTTCATCTGTCTGCCAGGCGATGGGGTAGCCTAGTGGTTAAAGCGTTGGCTAGTCGTGCCGAAGACCTGGGTTCGATTCCCCACATGGGTACATTGTGTGAAGCCCATTTCTGGTGTCCCCCTCTGTTATGTTGCTGGAATATTGCTAAAAGCGGCCATACTCACTCACTCATCCGTCTGCCAATCGACCATTATTGGGATTCAGTACACAACAACACACAACCAGCATCTTACACAAGTAAATGTATTTATTCAGATTAACAACAAACATGAAAACAACAAACTGAATAACCATGAAACGTGAAGATAAAACTTCTCAAGAATAAGAAACCATTTGAATACTTGTAATGCTGTCGGGCAGTCAATAAAGATAATACTGAAGCCATTATCAGACATATTGTCACAACATTAGTGCTGAGCTTTTTAATAAAATTGAAATAACTGTTTCAAAAATTGCTGTCATGTTAAAAAATGTTTTCACTTCCTGTATTATGCAGCAATTTATGTGGATGACTTTAATAAACACTCCACCTATCTCATCTTGGGTAGAGGCACGATATATACTGAGGGAAAAAAATAAAGGAACACCACTTCGTGGCAGTGACTGGTGTTGAAAACTGGAAAATATGACAGGAATGCTTGAATTTTCCTGTGTTCCCTTATTTGTTTCTCTCAGTATAAATAAAAATGATGAATAATACACAAGGGACCCACTGTATTTCTTAAACCAGCGATGCATTAAGTTTGGGGGTCGTCTTATCCATGGGGTCATCTTATAGACAGTCATATACGGTATGTGTACTACACTGTGTTTTTATTTTTAATTCATCATCGCCGGTACACATACATTTGTCCAATTTTGAATCACATTATGTCCTGTAGGCTTGATATGAACATATGGCACTTTTAAAATGAGCAAATATTCAGCTTTCAAATATATACATGTATATATTATCGAACTCATAAAGGAAACTTTACAAAGAAGGAAAGTTACCACTTCGTCAAATGTGAGATGAAAATGTTAAAAAACAAACTTAAAGTCAGTATCATTCATCTTAAGACCATTTGATTCACTTCCAGAAAAACTCTTTTGGGTAATTTTAACTTGATTTAAACTGTTTAAGGGATGTCAGGCTTCAAGCAAAGTTGGGCTGTGTATTGGCAAAACAATCTTATTGCAACATATTTGGAATTAAAGTATTTGGAACTATTGCATATGACAATGATTGATACTAATTGGACTAAAACATTATTGAGAATGGTCATTTGCTGCCAGTTTGTTGTCATGGAAGCAGGGGAGGTAACCACATAAATGAAAAACATCACTTGCACATTTTTGCTGTTTTGCCCATCAATTTCTTAAGAGAAACATCATTTGAGAGTGTGTTTTAGTGCAGAGTTTAGGTTTAAAGGTACAGATTTAATTTTTATTTTGTTCCCAAAACATTTCAGCAGACAAATATATTGTAATATTTTCATATCATTTGAAAAAACAGGATATACCGGTAACGTCATGCAGCACTATAAGTGAGAGGTACCAGTAACCTAGACTCACTCATTTTGTTGGCATTTACCATTCAGACAGAAGTCATACACCTTTGCAAGTAAATTTCAAGTTAACACAGAATAGTTAGTTATTAATTCTTTGTCAAGAGTAGGTTATTCCCTAAATTACAAATTGTCTGATTCTCTGTTGATATGTGGATCTGTTGGTTTGCTAATCACTGAACGTGTGTGTAAGCTGTTGCTGGAGCATGCTAAGTGATTTCCCAGTGTATCAAACCTCAATTTGGCTGTGATAAATTACCCATCTCAATCCCCTCTGAAGCTTTGTTTCTGAAATAATGTCACATCTCTCTCACCACTAACTCTGGACAAAATCTTTTTCACACATGAAATAACCTGAATTTTAAATCCAATTACTCACATTAAAATCCCATCAAATTGGACTTTATATGAACGTTTTACATGTTTTACATAGATTTACATCGCAAATCTAACTCAAGTGTCTTTGGATACTGAATATATGAACACGAGTAAATAAACTTTGGAATCTTAGAGGATTGAACAGTAGACATTAATTGACTAGTGGATATACTTTCCCCATACAAAACATGTGTGCTTGTCATGTATCACTGCTATTTCAGTGGATTAAGCCATCATTGGTTCATTTAGTAATTTCATTAGGACTGGACTCAAAATGATACCATGGTGAAATATGAGTCCACTGTATCATAACCTAACCAAGACATAGTTACACAATAATCAAAGCTATTGCTGGAGCATTGTGATCAGAATAAATTCGGTTTGTAAGTCTTACTTTATTCTCAATTCTGAGACAGCAATGCTATAATCTAAGGATGTTTAATCCCTTGAGGGCCTCTAACATGCTGCTAGTCTGGTTATCAAATTCTTACAGAAAGTAATTTTCTGTAACACCTTGCCCAATATGACAAAAAGAACTAGCACAGATTCAATGGGACATGAATGCTGGCAAGTTAGCAATGATACACTTTATGGCACAGCATGTTAAAGTTTCTGTAACATACATCATTACTAATACTGGTCTGGTAACATAGATCATAAATACTGGTCCTCTTTATAATCTTAATCCAACTTCTTTTCCTATTACGTCTTTAGAGGCTGTGGGATAGCGTAGTGGTAAAAGTGTTCGTCACGCTAAAGACCCGGGTTCTATTCCCCACATTGGCACAATTTCAGAAGCCCATTTCTGGTGTCCCCAGCTGTGATATTGCTGGAATATTGCTAAAAGCGGCGTAAAACTAAACTCACTCACTCACTCTTACATCTTTATTATAAATCTTGATCCATATTCTGGTCTTCTAACATCTTTATAATCTTGATGCATATCTTAGTCATGTATATAGACTGTCACCCATCATGTCAAACAATGTTGTCAATTTCAAACACATTTCACCTATCCTTCATTATCATTGAGATCTTCATCACTCTGGTTAATTTTCCACCCTGACAGGGCCTCATAAGGTTCCCCCTTAGCTCCCTCCATCTCTCCATCATATTCCTCACTCGCTCCATCCAAGGCACGCTGCAGTTGTATGTAGGGTGAAGGTTCAGGCTCATCCTCGACAGAAGGCCGGGCAGCTGAGCCGCCAACAAGAATGTATTCCAATCCCTGAAACATACAACCAAAAATGTCACTCTTCAGCTGAAATGTACAACCAAAAGCATCGTTCAGAAATGTACAACAAAAATGGTCACTCTTCAGCTGAAATGTACAACCAAAAGCATCTTTCAGAAATGTACAACAAAAAATGGTCACTCTTCAGCTGAAATGTACAACAAAAAAAGGCCACTCTTCAGCTGAAATGTACAACCAATAATGGCACTTATCATGTTGAAATGTTTCATTTCTTGCACATTTATAGATAAATACTGGAGAATAATGGATGGCACACTGATACAGTTGAAGAAAACGATTTTAAATGATTCTTTTTCAACAGTATTATTAAAGTGAACATATTTCAGTTTAAAACATCTCATTTAACACACATACCTTCCAGTGACTCGGCTTCACATGTAACTCATTGTCTCTCAAATCTAGCTTGGTGAGGTCTGATAGAGAAAGAATGGTGTCATCCGAAACAGATTTGATTCGATTTCCTTTCATGTGTAGACTAGCAAGAACTGACAGCTTTAGCACACACTCTGGGATACCATCAAACTTGTTATTATTCAAGTCTAAGTGAGACAACATCGTCAGCTCCTCAATCCCATTTGGAAGATCCCGAAGATGATTCTCTGCCACACACAGCCAAACAAGTTTCCTCAAGTTTGTTATTTCTGCAGGAAGGCTAGATAAATTATTGCCTCGTACGCTAAATTTTTCCAGTTGTTTCAATCTGCCAATTTCTGACGGCAGATTGATCAGCTGACATTCTACCACCCACAGCTGGGTGAGGGATGATAACTGTCCGATGTCCGATGGAAGAGCACCAAGAGGATTGAAGCAGGCACTGAGATACTGCAGGTTTGTCAAGTTACCGATTCCGGTTGGCAGCATGGTGAGTTTATTGTTGTCCAAGACAAGTTCATCAAGTCGAACCAACGTTGTGATTTCCGAAGGGGGCATCAGGAGTTTGTTGTCATTGAGTGACAGCTTTTGGACATGCAGTAGTTTTTTTATGCTGCTGGATACGACTGTTAAACCTCGATGACTGAGATTGACAATTTTGTCTCCTCTTCTGGCAGCGATGTCAATTATCTTTTCTATTTCTATAAGATCCATACTGATGGCTAAGCGAGTTTCTTCAGATTATGTGATTCTAAAATTTTTACCCAGACAACAGAAATTCTGAAAGATAAAAACATTTTCTTCAATGTGAATCAAAGAGGGATTTTTTTAAAAAGTTTCTTTTGAATCAAAGCGTTGGTTTCATCTGTATCATGTTCTGGTTATGAGATTGAAATTCACCTTCATTATAAGTCTTTGAAATTAAGCATGAAAGTCATTACAATATTAAACCATGGTATGCTTGCCTTTAGCCTCATACCTGAGTGAGATGATGTTCATGCGATAATTGAGAAAACAACAGTTGTTCTTAAGCATAAGAAAACCCCATAACATGAGGATAATTGCTAGGGCTAGGACCCGGGTACCCGTCTCAATATTGGGACCCGTTATGATCATGTGACTAATAGATTAAACAATGTAATATGTTATTCTTTTCTGATTAAAAGGTTGTATTGTCTTTGCATATTTAGACATAAATATTGAATATTTAGACATAATTTACAGTCATCTGTTTTGAATATAATGCATGCTTAAGGGACCATTCATAATTTATGGCTAGGGTGGGTGATGATGATTTTTTAGGTGTGTGTGTGTGTGTGTGTGTGTGTGTGTTTGCCATCCATGTTGTTCTGGGGAGGTGTGGGGGTCAGCAAGTTTGTACACATGTACTATGGGGCAGCAATTTTGTAGTTAAAATGTTAAAGAATTATGCTTAAAAATCATGGGGTGGGGTAGCATTGATTTTTGTACATAACATGCAGGAGGGGGGTTACTTACTTTGCACATGAATTATAGGGGGTGATTCACATTGTACATGCTTCTCCATAAAAATCATCATATTACACACACGCACGCGCGCGCGCCCTTAGCCATTATGAACGGTCCGTAAGAAAAATTCGAAATTGTAGCCACCGAGCTGATTATATATTGCCCTTTCTTGCAAATTTGATGTCAGAAATTAACATAACCTGTGTCTGGGTAGGGCAGGGTAATGGGGGGTGGGGTATCCGGGTAGAAACTTTGGACCCGTCCCAGCCCTAAAAACTACCTACTGTAACGTTTTATAACTGCAAATTTCTTACGAAAGGATTTATATCAAGTCATGGCAACTTGTGAGCAACTTCGGATTTGTTCGTTTGAACTCCATATTTAGTTAGAGTAGTGAAAAAGAAAGAACCCTTCAAAATTAGCTTGCAGCATGTATATTTATATTAGAACAGTATCAAATCAACATTATGTGCATCTGTTTTAAAATATACAATGCTAACCTTTGAAGAAAAGGAGGTTTCCATCGTCTGTCGCTATTGTGAGCGTCATTAGCAGCGGAAGTGAAGACAGAGTTATCTGCCCTCAATAAAATACGGACAGTTATTGTAAGGCGAATCGATTACGACGCGACCCAGGTGTATGTGTGCGTGCGTGCGTTAGTGCGTGAACTCTTGTACTAGTCCCGAACTAATACTGGCCTTATAGTGCTAGCATTCAGACAACAATACACACACAAGAACGAGAATATTTTCCTCTGTTTATATGTATAAAATTTTCTGTTTTGTTCATAGTGGTTGTGTTTGTAAAACTTGTCATTATTCTTATAACGGAATGGCAGACTTCAAAGATGTGGCGCTTTATTCGACCAGTAAGCTCGCATAATTACACTGGATAATTACGCACTTAATTATTACGTTCAAATCTTATAAAGGGTCGGTGGGGTAGCCAGTTGGTTAAAGCGTTCGCTCGTCACCCGGGTTCTGTTCACCACGTGCACATTGGCACAATATGTGAAGCCCATTTCTGGTGTTCCCCGCCGTGATATTGCTGGAATATTGCTAAAGGCGGCGTAAAACCCAACTCACTCACTCACTCACTCCGGACTCATTGAGTCATCATGATTTACTTTGCAATTTTACTTTTTACGGACACGCAGCTATCTGGAGTACTGTAATGAAAGATGAGTCTCACACCTTGTCCTTATTTGCAGCGGACTTTTAAATTTCAGGTTTGCCAGTGGTTTCAGTTGAATGGAAGGCTCAACAAATATTAACATTAAATTGTTGTACATGATTTATAAATATACTCATGCCAATAATGGTTGTCACCCCCCTCCCCAACCCCAACCCCCACCCACCTCACACCCCTCTCCAAGTATATAAACGCATACTGGGGGTGAAATGAAATCCTTTCTTGTACGACGCTGTCATCGAATCATGATTGAGCAGAATAATTATACATTGGAAGAGTTGGGCTGGACTGGTGAACAGGCTTGATCTGAATGCTGAATATACATACGCAAACACGCACGTACGCACGCACATATGCATGTCCGTCTTAAATGTACAATTTCAAAAGGTGACGTTAAACCCGATTTTACCGAATCTTGTACTCAGACCACGATTAGCGCGTCCTGGTTTTGTCAAGGGACACAACTCTTCATATCTAATATCTAGAAAAATAGACATGTGCATCGCCTTATCATTAAGGATCTGAAAGGAAAGCGTAATCTTCTCTACCCAAAACCAAACCCGCTTTTGTAAACAATGCTAACAAAGATGTAGTAATTACACGCCTATGTTGTGTCAAATGACGCGACCTCCATAACGAGTCCTGTTGGAGCTGGTGGTCAGCAACCCATGCTTGTCCTCAGACCTGACCAGCGTGATAGGGTGGTCAGGCTCTTGGCTGCGTTGATGAATGTGATATTATCCCAGTTGTGGATATCGATGCTCATGGTGTAAACATTTTGAGTTGTTAGGACACAAATTACGTACATACTACCATACGTAGGTAGAATAATGAAACACAGACACGCACGTGCGCGTGCTCACGCACTCAGATACAAGCAAACAAACAAACGCACTGCGTTGATTGACCACGATACTGGCCAAATGACAAATACGAGAATTTTGAGATACATGTATATTTTGGAGAATTTATTTCACGAGAGATGACAAGCTCTGATAGTGAATTTAAACGTATCACACAGATTAAAAATAATTTTGTTTTTCTTGATGAAATTTTATTGTGTTAGTTTTGTTCAACACACAACAAACTTTACGCTGATTGTACCTTGTGTTTGTCGTTTAACGCCGCACTCAGCAATATTCCAGCTACTTGGCGACGGTCTGGACCAAATAATTCAGTGATCAACATCATGAGCATCAATGGAATTTATAGATGCTTAAGAATTTCTTTCATGTAAAGATCGGTATCACCAACATCCCGAATTACGGGGATTTGTAGTTTGGATCTGTAGGGATTTGTCACAAATAAAGTTAATCGGAATAATATTCCGGGATAAATGGAAAAAAAGGAGATTTATATAAATTAAAATACGCCTTTATCACACATTACAACAGCTGAACAAGTTACACAGAGTGTTTGTTGTTTGCTGTTTAACTCCGCACTCAACACTCAGCAATATTCCAGCTATATGGCGGCGGTATGGACAAGGTATGCCAGTGATCAACAGCATGAGCATCGATCTCCTGAATTGGGATACGATGGTATGTGTCAACCAAGTCAGCGATCCTGACCACCCGATCCCGTTAGTCGCCTCTTACGAATCAGCACAAAAGCGAGAGTATCGGTGAAAATATACAAAAGGGACATTACTCTGTGTACGTACCTGCAGTCAATTAGGAAATTGGTTCTTCCGGATAAAATCATTTGTGATAGCACCTTTACGGAGAAGCGTTTTCTCAGGCTATATCCCAAGCGTGAGAACTATCAACTGTTGGCATATCAACGAGAAATATAAGAAGTCACACGTATTGACGATCCAGATTTTGTCCGGCCCCGCCCGAGCGATTTATTAACCAATCACGATCTTCACGTCGTGTAAGCAATGTCGAGGAAGCTCGTGCGCAGAATGCGAGACAACAGTACACACGGGTCTGGGCGGGCCGATGTTATCCGTAAGCTTTGAAATGTACACTTGTCAATTTCACATGTCAGTTAGGATGTCAATATACGTCATGATTATACGAGACATCGTTTATCACCAAGGCGATTGCTATTGTCATTTCTTAATCGGTATTTGTGTGAGATCTGTCAGTTTATTTTAGTTTATTTCTCTAAATTCACTTGGAATATGAAAAAAATGTTCTTCATCGTTAGAAGCAAATTCGCTATATGTTACCAGAATGTGTTTACATTGATGAGCGTCGGTGTCTAACATCAATACATTCTCTTTTGTGTCTGTATGACCTAGTTTCAAAACGAAAGTAAAACTTGGTTAGTCCACTCTTTTGTCACAGTGCCCGATATAGCTTTGTATTGTATATTTTGCTTAGAAACAGTTAAACGAAACTTCTTTGCCTAATTCATTAGGGTGAGTGAGTTTAGTTTTACGCCGCACTCACCAATATTCCAGCTATATGGCGGCGGTGTGTAAATAATCGAGTCAGGACCAGACAATCCAGTGATCAACAGCATGACATCGATCTGCGCAATTGGGAACCGATTACATGTGTCAACCAGGTCAGCGGGCCTGACCACCTGATCCCGTTAGTCGCCTCTTGCGAATCAGTACAAAAGCGAGTATCGCCTCTTACGACAAGCATAGTCGCCTTTTGTGGCATTATTCATTAGGACAAAACAAACTATAAAATAAAGAATAATGTTTTAATGACCATACATGAAAGAAATAAAAAAATGAACGAATTCAACCTGAGATACACAAAGTGAAAACTGAATAAACATAAATACATTAACATAAGGCTTCTAAAGTATATTGCCTAAAACTAGAGGAGGCACATTTCAATTTTTAGAACAAAATTAGTGAGTGAGTTTAGTTTCACGCACAGTGGCAGGACACCAGGAATGGGCTTCACACATTGTACCACTATCTATATTTAATATAGGTTCCAAACATTAATGCTCGTTTTCTTTAGCCTGACCACCCGATCCCGTTAGTCGCCTCTTACGACAAGCATAGTCGCCTTTTGTGGCAAGCATGGGTTGCTGAAGACCTATTCTACCCCGGATCTTCACAGGTCCGGTCTGTAATTAATCGAGTCAGAAATTGATCAACACAATTGGGATACTATGACATGTGTTGACCAAATCAGAGACCACACGATCCCGTTAGTCTCAGTTTACGACAAGCATGGGTTGCTGAAGATCATTTCTAACCCTGATCTTAACGGGGTTTTTAAAAAATATTATATAATTCAACAAGACCACCGGTTTTCTTCTGTTAATGAATAATTTTTAAAGAAACGAAATGTTCAATTTAAATTGGAAAGGAGCCGAAGTGAGACGGGAAATCTAGCCTTATTTCATTATGAGCCCTCGCACTGAAGAAAGGGCTCGGTGAAGGGGAAATAATGTGATTCAGGGACTGTGTGACTATGACGGATCAACTCTTCAAAGTTGATTTAATCTATACTCATTCAGTCCCTCAGTGAATTGTATAACATTACATAATATTCTAGTGGATAAATATCCACTGATTAAACGATCAGTTAAAATATTAAAGGTGTAGTAAGGTAGCCCAGTGGTCAAAACGTTTGTTCGTCACGCCGAAGACCCGGGTTCGATTCCCCACATGGGTACAATGTTTTAAGCCGATTTCCGTTGCCCTCCGCCGTGATGATGCTGGGATATTGATAAAAGCGTTGTAAAACTAAACTCGCTCACTAAAATGTTAAAATCGCAGCAAAATATTACAGTATGTAAAATAGTGCTTGTTATTTAAAGGTTCGGCGCTGTAAGTATCCCTAGGGAAGACATGATAGAACTATAGAATGACCACTGAGATAAGGGAGAGGAACATGGGGAGACCATTTGGCGCCAACATCAGTAACACCCAGATGGACATCAGCTGCAAAGATGACCATGATCGCGGTCAAGAAGGTCAAGACGAGGTAAGTCAAGGTCATCTGTTGCCTGTTATCCCGCCAACGTTAATTGTAACACTCATTTATTTTTATCTATCCATGATGTTATTGTGTTTATGCCAAGACTGAATTCGATAAATATACGGATGTTCTGACATATTCCTACACAGGATAGCGGAATCCAGTCGCCTTCTTCAGCAGATTCTCTCAGACAGGTAAGTGTTGACATTTTGATATTCTAAGCAGGGGGTAGTGGCAATAGTGTTCCAGATAATGGAGTTACAAAATATATTCGATTCTGCTTAACACAGAAGAAGATGTTCACTATACATGCTAGAAATCCGGAAAATGTGTTTTGAAATTAAATCAAATTGTTCACCTCGCCATTAACCAATAATCACTTCCTTGATGCCCAGTATACCCACTGTCCTACGCAGTTCCACGAGGCCAGCATAGCACCTCTGCGGAGTTCGTCGCTTCGTCACTAAACAGTCCATTCAAGATGCATATATATACTTTCATCTGTGTTATTGACGAGTGAACACACCTGGAGAAACAAAGCTTGGTTCACTTTTATTGTTTGTTGTTTTACGCCGCACTCACAATATGCCAGCTATATGGCGGCGGTCTGGAAATAATTTAGTCAGGACCAGACAATCCAGTGATCAACATCACGAATACCGATCTATACAATTGGCAACCAGGTCAGCGATCCTGACCACCCGATCCCGTAGTCGAGTCTTTCGACAAGCATGGGTTGCTGAAGACCAATTGTAACCCGGATGTTCACAGGTTTAATAGCAAAGTAACAGTACTGTGCATGTAGATTAAGTGGTCGAGAATATGAACCAATCAGAAATTAATAGCATATCAACCAGCCAATCAAAACCTATATCAGCATATCTAGAAATAATGTTTACTGTTATTTTCCGAACATAGCTGGGACATTGTGTGCGGCTTTGAATAATATTTAGGAAGCCCAGAACAGGAAGAAGTATCGGACATTTGTTTGCATTTTTGCAACATTTCCCAACTTTGTAGACTGTACATAGATCTTCCCCACCCACCACAGGCACCTTTCCCCGGGAGTGTGTAGTAACAGACATCATATATGGTCTCTGGTAATAACATCAACCCAGTGAAGATTCGCCTTGGAACTGATCTTCAGCAGCCCTTGCTTGTCTTAAGAGGCTTCAAACGGGATCCTGTGGTCAGGCTCGCTGACTTGGTTGACACGTGTCATCGGTTCCCAATTACTAATGATGGAGTCACTGGGCTGTCTGGTTCTAACACAAGTAGTCAAACAGATTCTACAGGATCTACATTGTTTTCTGTTGAACAGGAACCAACCTACCCCGTCGTGAACGACATAACGAGCAAGTTCAAACATCACGGTTAGATTTTGTTTTTGTAAAAATAACACTGCGGGAAACGTTTTGGAATATGCCACGAAGAAGAATATGGGGCTGTATGATACAGGTTTCAGTTTATTCTCAAAACAAAACACCAACGGTGCCATTATGGCAGTGTTACATTATATGTACATATAACACTGTCATGACATAATTATGTATAGTTTGTGTACGATGTATAATTACGTCAACACGGTGTTTATTCTGCACCGGTATGTACTGGATACTCAAAGTTCATTCATGAGACCAGTCAACAACTTGTTGACGCCAGGCTCGCCGCTTATCTCGGGTAACCAGCGACCCATCCTGTTACGATAAAATCTCAAAAACTTCCTTGTGGTTTGACGAGCGCGAGGACAAAGAGTTATGGGCTTCGCTGGGTTCATACATGCCTGTGTGTGCAACAGTTATTTCACATTATGGGCTGGGGTTGCATCATAGTATTGTGATTCTTTCATGTAAGGGCAGTGTGTCGTCATGACAGTACGTTCAGATATGTACGGAATAACAGTAGGGGAATTTCTAGCCTTACGTGAAGAAAATATCGTAGCTGTCAGATGCAACAGGTTGTTGTGCAAGGCATGGCGAACATCAAGAAGGGTAATTTCTGGCTTTACGTGACGAAAAGCCATTATGGCAGTGTTATATTCTTTGTGCGATCTTTGTGGTCTTTAGTTTTTGAGTGAGTACTCCGTTGTTGCTATTGTAGGGGACTTCAGTATGGTAATATTTATGATAAAGCAGTGATGCCTTTACTTTATCCTTCTTTCCAGTCATCCTTTGTTCCGGAAGTGGCTCACACGAAGCTGAAGCAATTAAAAGCAGTCTGAATGTTGACATCGGCCAAGTGCCTATCACGGTTTGCAATGGTGAGTCATGAAACTCCAATTTGGACATTTTTTTAAAGTGGCATTTAGACGCTGGTATGACGAAGGGGACCAATGAAGAGATCACTTGCAGGATAACGATGTTAGCATATACGTCGAAACGTCGAATCTATTGCAGTAAAGAAGTTCTATTCATAAAAATCATTCCTCTTCCTCTTCAAGTTTGAGAGATTAGGCTTGGAATGATTATATCATAATCAGTTCATGAAGTGTGAGAGTATGGTTTACGCAGCTTCACACATTGTACCCATGTGGGGAATCGAACCCGGGTCTTTGGCATGACAAGCGAACGCATTAACCACTTGGCTACCCCACCGCTCCATGAAGTTATTAATAATATAGAATTAGGCTCCGTCCGTCCGTACGTACGTACGTATTACGAATTGGAATATCTTAAGAACCGTTGACTAGATTCTTTTCATACTTGATACCTAGGTTCATCACAGTATGAAAAAGGCCCCAGTCAAGTTTGATGACCTTGACCTTTATTTCAAGGTCACATGGGGACTTTAACGTTTTACCCTTGTCAGCGAGATATCCCAAGAACCGTTCTCCTGATTTTCTTCATACTTGACACCAAGCATCATTTAGGCAAGGCGCAGGGCCCAGTCGATTTTGGTGAACTTCACGGAATTGTCAAGGTCACGGCGACACTTATAGCGCTGAACTACATCCTCGAATGGCACATACAGTACAATGGGCATTATTACCCCTGATAACCCAAACTTCCTGTGAGGTGCTGGAAGGTTAATAGTCATATGACTATATCCTGCCGGGTACCCCTTTTCTGCTTGGTGAACAGAAGCACCTTTGAACACCATTGCTAAAGAGGGCCAGATGTGTCACGTGTGCTTCGTTGTGGGGCGGGACCGATGTCCTAGGAACTCTCAGGAGTCAAGTTGCCGAGGGGAGGTAGGGGTAGTCTAGTGGTTAAAGCGTCCGCCCGTCACGCCGAAGACCCGGTTCGATTCCCCACATGGACACAATATGTGAAGCCAATTTCTGGTGTCCCTCGCCGGGATATTGCTGGAATATCGCTAAAAGTGGCGTAAAATCATACTCACTCAAATTGCCGAACACGGTCACCCATCCAAGGACTCTCCGTGGCCAACGTTTCTCAACTTCAACAGATTTGTAATCTGGGCTCTGAACACAAGGCCACACGTTAGCCATCACGTTTTTATACGGTTATGGAAGATCTGAGAAGTATCTTTGATTGTGTTTTACAGTGCTGTAATTACTTTTTAGTATCAGCTGTTGTTTTTGTTGTTTTGTAGAAAGAGCTGGGGTCTTCAACAACATTCTTCCAAACGATACAGCCTTGTATATTGTGGTCGATTCTCCCATGTGTGATATTCTGATGAAAGGACGAAGACTACCTGACGTTGTTTACGATTTCTTTGAAGGTGATTCGATTAATGGGTGTACGGTCACATGTGGGCATTTCATTCGCCGATACATGTGCCTTGGTGACAATAATCAGACATGTAGACATTAACTAAGCATTTGTGATAACAAACCACTGGTTGCCCTCAGTAAAGAACTTACGATGTAAACAAAGGCTTTTGGTGTACAAGAAACATTGGAGAATGTCATTTTTGTTTCTAAACAAGACTATTACATAACGTAGACAGACGGGAAAGCAAACATATGTACTCGCGCACGCCCACAAACATACCGAGGGTATTTGTAAGACCCACATGCACCCCCAGTACACACACTGAAAGTATATTCAGACCAACACACACATACACCAACACAAACGCACCCGAGACCAAAAACACACACACATGCACGCACGCACATACACGCACGCACGCACCCACCCACGCATACACTGACACAACTGCAGTTTCAACATTGGCAAAACCCCTGAAGAACCCGGTTAGAACTGGTCTTCAGCAACCCATGCTCCATTATCTACAGGCCGCCACAATATTGCTGGAATATTGCTGAGTCCCGCTTCAAGCAACAAACAAACAAATTACATTGAAAAACACACCCACACACCCACACACCCGCTCACAAACACCCTTATATACCCTTATACATACACAAATGCGCCTTTGCATCATTAAAGAAACCTGTGTTTGTAGCTATACAGCAATGACGATACAGTCACAACAGTATTCTTTGGAATGTTACAGAATTTGCACAGTCGTCCAAGGTCTATCTGAAGAACGCACTCCCTCCACAGGAACACTGGCGATACGACGGTCTGCGGTGCCAGCTACCTCAAGAGTGTGTCTGCGAATACAAGGAGGTCTTCATCTCTTGTAGCCAGACACCCGACAGAGATGAGGGACATGGCTCAGCAGAATCAGAATCGGGTGCTGGCTCAATGGAATCGGACGATGCTATTGATGACGACTCCATTGTCGTTGATGAGGATGTACAGGAGGATGACAATGATGACGATGATGACGATGAATGTTATGCTGCGCCAGAAGCGTTAGGTAAGCAGTAATTCTCTTCCTGTTAAAATCGTCTCGTGACCAAATGTTTTAGCATTTGGAAACGGACAGGGATTCTGAATTAGGAGAGATCTGTAATGAAATGGAAATTGTCCATTTATTTACGTCAGAACCACAACATAGCATCTATGCACTGCTGTCTGTGATCACAAGACAAATAGGCAACTGGGTGACCATGTTTGCAAGTCTGTGCTTCCTACATGTGAAGATCTGGTCTTCAGCAACCCATGCTTGTCGTAAGAGGCCACTAACCGGATCGGGTGGTCAGGCTCGCTGACTTGGTTGACACATATCATCGTATCGTGATAGCTTAGATCGATGCGCATGTTGTCAAACAGTGCATTGTCTCGTTCAGACTCTAATATGTTTAAACCACCATCATAAAGCTGGAATATTATGAGTTATGTATTAAACAACCAAATCATGTCATTCCATCTCATCGTGTAAGTTTGTGAACACTGGTGACTGCAGTTTGAAATCCACTTTACCATTGTGAATAGATAACATGATGCTTCATCGAGACATCAACACATATGTTCTTTTACTTGTTTATTGACACTTGTAATCCGTAAACTCTAAATATTGTACATGATATGTTCCAGGAGATACCTTGCCGACGGAACATATTCAAATTGGTTCCAACTGTACAATGAACATAACACCTCATCAATCGGGAGAACTTCTGATGAGGCAAGATGGAACACAGAATACCATGAACGTTCAAATAGGTACTTTGATCTTGACATTCGGTTTCTGAATAATTAGTAAATAATCATTATAATAATCGCAATCGTGGGCTGTGCTGGATGTAGAGGTAGCTGATGATGCTCCCAATCAACGTCACTCTGCAAGGTTCACCTGAACCCTCTATTATTGCATTTATGTATCATAATCTAAAAATAATGACAATGAAGACAGGTACATTGATGACACAGATATTCTGCAAGCATATATTGACATTCTGCCATTTGTGTATAAAGGCACATTCTGTATCATAATCATCATAATCATCCCATTCGTGGTCCGTGTGTAATGGTAGCAAGGACCCTGAGATGATAATGAGCCTAAACAACCTCACCTGAACCCTCTTTGCTGCATGTATGTATCATAATCTACAAATAATGTTTATTATTACTATATGCTATTAATAATAATAACAAGTTAACTTACGTGACTTTACACCTGTTATTTGTGTACAGAATCTACTTCCTGCCAGGGGCAATTGATGGTGTATATAACATATAGGTACAAAGGAAATCACATTGGGATGCTGTACCATTAATCTAATTAGATCTACAAATATTCATTGCTACAATTGTGTGTGAAGAGAACAAATTAGAATCAAGGCTCTTTGGAAAGATACTGGTTCATTTTCTGTGCAAGATAACAACGTGACGAATGTCTGGCCTTTTTGACATGCCTTTAAGGAAACGCCATTGTTTTGACAGTTCCTGGAGAAAATACGTCAAAGGTATTTGTGGTGATCACCCTGAGTCTCGCGACCCTGACCTTGACCGACTTCTTCTGCGTGAAATGAATGGACAGAAGGACGTCATCAACATCAGCCTCCAGTCACAGAATGCTCAGGTTGTCCGGTTCAGTCCAGGCTCGGTCATCGTTGAAATTGACCTAAAACCTGGACAGACAGTCGGACCTGAATGGATCAAAACCCTGTTGGGGAATTTGTTCAATAAGAAAGTGAAGTCATGCATACCGACTGGTACAAGTCTCAAGAGTAGACATTAAGAGCAAAGTGTGCCTTCCTGTACAGAATTTGGAACAATGCCGTAAGACTCTTTGTATATTTTATGACTTGTGGATGTTCTTTTATAAACAAAAGAACGTATTCCAAGTTCGTGTTTCCATGTAATTGAAAACTGAAAAACCATTGTTATATTAAAATTATGTCTATTTAACCTTCACTCATTCCTGCAACAGTTTGTACAAAAATCTGTGGCTGGGAATTGTTTGTGTGAAACCACATTGGCGACTGGGGTGAGATATTGATATGTAACTACATGACACTTGAAATGTTAAAAGTTTGTACCCCTATAAAAAGAAAATGTATTGAATTTCAAAGTTAAGTAGGATACTCATTGGTTGTTGTCTTCTCAGTGATTTAGGATAAGCCTTTAAAAGTTTTAAATTAAATCAAACATTTAAATATAAAACCGTGTGGAAATATTTGATGGCTTCCTAAAATATCGCTGCCTTAAGATATTTTTTTCAACTGAAATTAGAATCATCTATTTACTGTTTCCTTTATTTCTCGGTTTATTTCATCTGTTGGAACAATGCTAAACCGAACCAAACTGTAATTTACTATGCATGATATCTCATCAATATTGATACATAATAGTTCTATTTGTCATTAAAATATACTTTTTTCAAAAGAGAATTCTTTTTGTAGTTGCAGAGATGTCATCAAACATTCACGAGGGTTGTGTGGCCAGAGATAAGGTAACGCCGAAATGATTTGATTTTATTGTATGTAAAGTTAGGCGGCTGACTTTGTGTGATGGCGGTTAGGTGCCTGACTCAAAGGGTCCCGGATGGGACTCAACCCAAAAAAGTACTAGAATCTGTACTTTACTAAGAAAGTGTAACCCCAGGTATAACATATGTTATATTTAACACACATCTAAAAGAATACAATATCTTTGAGATGATCCCTTGTGGGCAGCACATGCATTCCATGCGAGGTGAGTCGACCGTCATACCTGGCTGAGCTATGTGCCATCTATAGTCTGACCTGTTGTTTTCAGCAGCTAATCGCATTTTTTCCAAGTTTTGCCCGATGTTACGAGTAAACATGCTTTCTCGATATCCTATTACGCATCCCCCTGAGCCTTAGACCGACGTGGGTTATTTCGACATATGCTATTTGAAATTATGTAAATTTTAGGGATACAGAGTATCTAAAAACAGTTTGGTTTTTTAATTTCCAACATTACTACAGAACATCAAAGCTATTGCATTAGTCAATATTTTATGTTTTTCTATGCTTCATGAAGAAATTTTGACTGTTTTCTTTTCAGTATGAGGAACTCGTCAAAGAACTAAAGGAACTTAGGAAGTCAGATACTCGTAAGCTCATAGGACTTTACAAATAGAATTACACGGAGACAATTGTGGCCCAGCTGTCTAAGGCGCCTAAATTGGTCGAGCAGGAATTTCACGTACTCGCTTATAATGGTACTCTGGTAGGTTCGAATCCCAGTCCATGGTTCCAGGTGGCAATTAGAACATCTGAGACAAGTTTTGGGCTTTTCTCCAGCATTAAACTGAAACCCTTTGATATGGCTGTAGTACTATACAGCGTGAAACGCAACTCACTCACTCACTCACCCAGTTATATATTCAAACACAATGCCATTTTATATCACGAATATATACATGATCGAAATTGAATAAACAACCCCCCCCCCACACACACATACATACATACATACATATAATAAAGAAACGTAAAGACTTAAAATAGTTAATATGCCTCCAAATTAAATTTTCGCTCTTGCCATAGGATTACAAATTGACCTACTATCGTTTAACACCTTTCTCTTTTCAACAGCTCAGAGGTTGTCTGTACACGTCATATCCGGCGACATCACAAGGGAGAAGGTAGACCTTTTTTGGTTTTGTGTTTAATACAGCACCCAGCAATATTACTGTAACAGCTATCTGGTCTGTAAACAGTCTGGACCAGACAATCCAGTGCTTGATTTCATGAGCATCGATCTATGCAACTAGGATATGATGACATGCATCATAAATCAACCAGTGAGCGATTGAATATGGGTTTTTGCCTCTTTTAACAATATTCCGGCAATATCACGGTGGGGGACGCCAGAAATTGGCTTCACACATTGTATCTACGTAGGGAATCAAACCCGGGTTTTCAGCGTGAGGAGCGAACGCTTTAACCACTAGGCTACCCCGCCATTCCCATATATCAACCAAGTCACCGTGCCTGACCACCCGGACACCGATGCCTCTCGCACCATTAATATATATGAATAAAATAGAAGCGACAAAACCCTTTTCATATTGTTGATTTTCTCAGATTTTCTGAGCTCATTCAACTATTCCGACTTTTTAATGTGTAAATGATGATACAAGCTGTTCGTGAAAACGGGGGCGTAAGCTGCCGCACCGGTGTGAGCTGTCACAAACACATGCAAAGGCAAGTCATCTGTTCACCAGAAACCATGTGTTGTCCATATCGGCTGTGGGTTTGCTGAAGATTTACAGACACCTTTAAATGTGAAATTTAGTTCATGGTCAGTGGGACTTTATGCCACAGCGCGTATTAACTCACAGAGGCTCAGTCGTCATGGCTGCTGAATTGTTTTGCCCAGAATTACCTCCCTTAGGCGTGGCGTGGATTCGAATACAGTTCGCCCTGATTGTGTTTTCTATTTGTCAGAGTAGTGCCCGTGCTTGTGGGTTTTAGAATGTTGTAAACGTTTAAGATGTGCATCGATTCGGGCTTTCCACTACATAAAGACATGATTGAAATATTATTGAAGAAAGTTTGACAAACCACACAAACCCACCCAAACCCACTCACTTATTCACCAAAACCCACCACTAACACCCACCCACTCAAACACTCACACATCCAAACCCACTCACTCAGGCACCCAAACCCACTCACTCATACACCAAAACCCACTCACTCACTCACACACCCACTCACTCACTCACTCACCAACATCCGTCGCATTCCATTATCTCAGTGCTGTATTTTCTCTAGTATTCCTACAAATGTGTAAATCTAACGCTTCAATGTCTTCACTTAGACCGAGGCTATTGTGAACTCAACAAACGCGAAGCTAAAACTGTCAGATGGGAAACTGTCTAAGAGCATCCTGACAGCTGGCGGGTCATCGATCCAGAAGGAATGCAGTCAGAAGTATCCTGAAGGATTAGAGACGGGAGTTGTGGGCAAAACAGGAGGTGGTTCTCTTGCTTGTAAAAACATCTACCACGTCGTCCTTCCTGAGCTATGGAACAACCATCAAAAGGTTGTATATGAGGTATGTGAACATATAGTTACAACATGTATGTGCGTGTGCGTGTGAGTGTGCGCGTGCGTGCAATGAGCATATACAGTACACCTGTTTGTACCGTGTCCTTTGCTGTATATTTAGTCTAAATGCATATGTCGATCAACAGTTATAACGAATCAAGCTTAGTGGTCCCATTTCAGTAAGGAAAAAAAGAAAAATCCACAGACATGTTAAAATACTCCTTCCCTGAAAAAATTGTTTCAAGTTAACTTATACCCGTGAAGGTCCGGGTTAGAATATTGATCTTCAGTAACCCATGCTTGTCGTAAGAGGCGACTAACGGGATCGGGTGGTCAGACTCGCTGATTTGGTTGACACATGTCATCGGTTCCCAATTGCGTAGATCGATGCTCATGATGATGATCACTGATTGTCTGGTCCAGATTATTTACAGACCGAAGCCATATAGCTGGAATATTGCTGAGTGCGGCGTAAAACTAAACTCACTCAACTTGAAAAATTATTCAACTTAGTCTCATCTGATGTTCTAGGTTTTGATATCAACTTGAAAATAGAAAAGACGTTATGTTATGTGTAGGTATCTTGAGTAAAGTTAGTAGACCGTAAAGTTTTAACTTGCATTATTTGCATTACTTGCATTACTCTGCAGTGTTTCCGAAGCATCTTTATGAAGATCCTGCAGCAGGCGGACAGTGACGGCCACCGCACCATCAGCATCCCGCCTATAGGCACTGGGGAACGCTGTTACAACCCCAACATTGTCGCCAACATCATGTTCGACGTGTGTCGCAGCTTCAGAGCAAAATCACTGTCAGACGTTCGATTGGTTGTAATTCCTGAATTTGCTGATGTACATAAGGTGAGACGGACATGTTCAGTGTCACACATGTTCGACAATATTTTGGCTTATATTATACACATTGGGGCATATGCACTCACTTTAGCTTCGTATTGATGCAATAAAGGACTTGTTATCTCTTGTTATATTGCCTGAAATCAATAATTGAAACTTCGAGGCGAGCAGCTCCAAAACAGAGAACACTTGCCATATATGGAATGTAAACAATGCTCCGTACATCGAAAACTGAAGCATGCGGTGTTGTCGGTGTTTGCCGAACTGGTTTCTGTGTCCAAAGGAGTTATAAGATATAACATAAGAGCGCTCCAAGGGACATAACTCTATGGGGTTCGCTTGAAATAATGTTCGGCCGGTAGAGGGCGTAACAGTCAAATTAATGCAACTTTGCATTACTTCATTCGAACTTTTTTATTTAATATTGTAATCTAAATACGTAAATGTTTGGGGAATAAATTATATGGTAGCTTCCCTGAGGGCTGACAGTTAGTATTATGGAGAGAAATGCATTATTTATTTTTAGAGAAGTGTGTTGTGACCACAGTTCCTTTAAGGCATATTTTCGTAAAACCAGAAATGGGCTTCACACATTGTACCCATGTGGGATATCGAACCCGGGTCTTCGGCGTTACGAGCGAACGCTTTAACCACGACGCTACCCAACCTCCCCTTAAACAAGTGAAGACAACGT